CTGTGAGATCATTAATTATTCCTGTCTCATTACACAGGACTAGATCTAGGATAGCTTGCTCCCTTGTAGGTTCCATTACATATTGTTCAAGGAAGTTATCGCGGATGCATTCTACGAACCCCTCCTCAAGGCTGCCATGACCGACCTGGTTTGGCCAATCGATATGTAGATTAAAATCCCCCACGATAATTGCTGTACCATTTTTACATGCATTAGCGATTTCTACGTTTATTGCCCGCCCCACCACGATGTCGTTATTTGGCGGCCTACAGACCACACCTATCAGTGACTTCTTCTCCCTGCTATTCCTAATTTCCACCCAAATGGATTCACCGTTTTGTTCAGTAGAACCTATATCATCTCTCACTGCCGCCCTGATATCATCCTTTAAAATCAGAGCAACACCACCTCCCCTTCCTGTCTGTCCTTCCGAACAGTTTGATACTCCTGGATATTTAACTCCCAGTCATGACCATCCTGTAACCATGTCTCTGTAATGGCCACTAAATCATACCCATTTGCCATGATTTGCACCGTCAACTCATCCACCTTGTTTCGAATGCTCCGAGCATTCAGATAAAGTGCCCTTATGCCAGTTTTTGCACCTTCTTTTTGGGTCCTAATACCTCCAGTACTAACAGTTCTTGAGATCTCCTTCCCTTTAACTTTTTTCCTAATTTCCAATAAAGTTGAAGCTTCCTCATCACCTGCTAACCTGCTGCTTTGCCTTACATTAATTGTTATTCTCCCTCTACGCTCACTTCTCCCTTCCGCCCTACTTACTAGTTTAAAGTCCTCGTGACTACCCTATTTACCCTTTTCGCCAGAACACTGGACCCGGCCCTGTTCAGGTGCAGTCCATCCCAGCAATATAGATCCCTCCTGTCCCAGAACTGATGCCAGTGCCCCATGAAAAGGAAACCCTCTTTCCCACACCACTCTTTTAGCCACGTGTTTAGTTCCCTGATCCTCATCTCTCTATGCCAATTTGCACGTGGCTCGGGCAGCAATCCAGAGATTATGACCCTTGAAGACCTGTTTTTTAATTTTGTTCCTAGCTTTTCATAATCCCGAAACAGGTCTTTTTTCCTAGTCCTGCCTATGATGTTGGTACCTACGTGGACCACAACAACTGGATCCTCCCCCTCCCTCTCTAGTATCCTCTCAAGCCGGTCAGAGATGTCTCGCGCCCTGGCAACGGGCAGGCAACACACCATGCGGGACTCTCTATCCTGTTTGCAAAAGATACTGTCTATCCCCCTAATGATGGAATCCCCTACAAATAAAATCTGTCTTTTTGCTCCCCCCTCTTGAATGACCTCCTGGACCATGGTGCCTTGGTCAGTTGACTCATCCTTCCTGCAGCCCTGTTCCTCATCCACGCAGGGAGCAAGTGCCTCATACCTGTGGGACAATGTCAAGGGCTGCGGCTCCTGTGTTCCTGTCTGCAGGGTCCCTCTACCTGCCTCACTCCCAGTCACACACTGCTGTTCCTGCCCGCCAATCGAATTAACATTAGTTAATCTACCAGGTGTGACTGCCTCCTGGAACACAGTATCCAGGTATTTCTCCCCCTCCCGGATGAGCTGCAGTGTTTGGAGTTCGAATTCCAGCTCATCAATTTTGAGCCGGAGCTCCTCAAGCAGCCAACACTTGCTGCAGATGTGGTCACTGCCGTTCTCAATGGGATCAGCTAGCTCCCACATCATACAGCTACAACACATCACCTCGCCTGCCATCTCTACTTAGTTAATTATTTAAAATTAATTAGCTTTTTTTTAGTTTCGCAGTGTTCGCTGCACCAGTAAGTTTACTCTGTTATATACTCAAACAGACTCCGGCTTTGCTTTCCAACCCGCTCACAGAGGATTTGGCGTCTCGGTGACCACCGCAAAAGATAACAAAGAGTTGAAGAAAAAAATGCAAATAGCTTACCTACTCACCACACTTAGTCATTATTATTAGGTTAGAGGAGGTGGAAGGGTGGGAGACACTACGCGTGTAGTGTCTTGGGTATCAGTTAACTCCCAAATTTATTGGGTGGAAGTTTACCTTCCCAGGCTGCCCTCGCGCTTGCTCCCGGACTCCCGCCGCTGAAACAACTGAAAAGCCGCAGTCACGCGAGGTAAGACTTTTATAATCGATACCATCGAGTGTAGATTTAGCAGAATTATGTCAGGACATGAATTTGTACTTATTTGGAAAAATTGGAGATATCAGGACAATTTCACTGGAGCAGAAACAGCTAAGAAGAGGTATACAGGTTTTTTTAAGTTAAAATATTTGATAGATTATATCAAGAAAGATAGTTTCCTTTGGCAACTTTATGCATTGCTTCGATTATTCAGAAAGTAAGCAGAAGTATTAGGAGAAATTTCTTTGACCACGAAGTTGTTCGGGTATTTGCCTCAGGGACAGCTGAGACAGACAACTGCAGCCTTGAAGACAGGAAAGGATAAATATTTGAAGCAGATGGTGATATAAGGGTCTCAGGAGAGAAACGAACAGTAGGATTAGGTTTGGACTACTTCGGCAAACAGCTCATACAGGAGTGGTGAGTTGAATCACCTCCTCCTGTGCTGTAAATGCCATGTTTAACTACAATGCAAGAGAAATAAACCACTCAAACTAACAAAAATTTGCTAATACCTTACTCTCAACATCCTACCTCTACCAAGCGATTGAGAATGATTAGGGAACAATGGTGCTCGCTGAAATATTTTGAACTGGCAAGTTATTTATTAAAACAATGCCATCAATCAAAATGAAAAACTATGTGCATTAACTGCCAATGCAAGGTTACCTTTTTGAAAGTACTGTTCTTTTCAGATGAGTAATGTTGTATTCGCTGGAAAATCTCCTATTCATCTGCTGTGACTTCAGCAGAAAATGTTCATGTCCCAGGAATGATTAAAAAAAAACTCAGAGAAAGGACAAACCATTCAATATTATGTTTATACCGCAGATTTGTGTTAAAGGTACACAATGAGGGTAAACTTTTAAAGTACTAGGCTGTACGGATATATAGTTAATATTGTATAGAATTATACAATACAGGTAAAGACAAAATAATTTCTGGAAGAATGCACATTATTAGCTTTGTTCGATGTAGCAGCTGAAATCGATGATGGGCTTTTAGATTGAAAAGTGTTTGTAGTCTACGAGGCAGCTGATTTGGATTACATCGACTGTTGCTGGTCCACCTGTAACAGAATGTCAGAACAAAAATGATCTTGACGAACATTAAAACTTATTCTGACAATCTTCTTTTCAAATAATTTAATTTAATTAAAGATTCTTTTACTCCATTGTGCGATATTAACTAAAGTCATTAATATTTACTGCTACCGAATTATAATAGTCATAGAACCGTAGCAGCACAGAAACAGGCTCTTCGGCTCAATTCGTCTATGCCAACCAGGTTTCCCAAACTGAACTCGTCCCATTTAACTGGATGTGGCCCATATCCCTCTAAACTTTTCCTATTCATGTACTTGTCCAAATATATTTGAAATGTTGTAACTGTACCTGCCTCTACCACTTCCTCTGGCAGCTCGTTCCATATACACACCACCCTCTGTGTGAAAAAGTTGCCCCTCATGTTCCTTTTATATCTTTCCCCTCGCACCTTAAACCTATGCCCTCTAGTCTTGGATTCTCATACTCTGAGGAAAAGACCTTGGCTATTCACCTTGTCTATGCCCCTCATGATTTTGTAAACTTCTGTAAGGTCACCCCTTAGCCTCCCATGCTCCAGGGAAAATGTTCCGGCCTATCCAGCCTCTCATTATATCTCAAACCTTCCAGTCTTGGTAATATCCTTGTAAATCTTCTCTGCATCCTTTTCAGATTAATAATATCCTTCCTAAAGCAGGGAGACCAGAACTGTATGCAGTACTCCATGTGGCCTTACAATGTCTTGTACAGCTGTAAGCTCACATCCCAACTCCTATGCTCAGTGCTCTGATCGATGAAGTCAAGCATGCCAAACGCCTTCTTCACCACCCTGTCTATCTGTGATGCCACTTTCAAGGAACTATGTACCTGCAGGTAGGATGTCTCTCTGTTTGACAACGCTCCCCAGGGCCCTATCATTAACTGTATAAGTCCTGTCCTGGTTTGTCTTACCAAAATGCAACATCTCGCATTTATCTGAATTAAATTCCATCTGCCATCCTTCACCCAATTGGCTCAGTTGATCATAATTCCATCATAAGATAACCTTATTCACTGTCCACTATACCACCAATTTTGGTGTCATCAGCAAACTTACTAATCATGCCTCATATATTCTCATCTAATTAATTTATAGAAATGATGAACAACAGTGGAATTAATGAAAATAGGCTGTTTTCTCAATAACAACATTCTACAATGTCTTCACACAACACTATGAGCTGCAGTGAGGAGTATATGTTGAAATCTAAGCATCGGTTTAGTTCCAGCACTACATTTCCTTATGCACCAATAATAAATGGAGCACATTCTAGCTCCACCACCTTTCAAGGAACACTGCAAAAATCTTCATTAGTCGGTCAGAGTCAAAGAAGGATCAGATTATTAAAAAAGGTAAATCTGTTTTTTTTTTCCTTGAAACAGGTTTTCATTATTTTATTTTTAACTATTTGAAATATTCAGGAACTGAACATCAATCACACTGGAATCTAGAATATTAAAGAAACAAAACTACAGTACTATTAATTGTGTCTGTAGCAAAATCACTCTAGCCTAACTCTGCCCCATTAATTGTATATATGCATTTGACATTTTTACATTCAATGTGAGACATGTTCTATATTACAGGGACCGTTTTTACTATCTCTTATCTGGTCAGTGTTGCATTGCTGTTTTTGGGAGCTTGCTACGTTCAATTTGTCTGCTGTGTCTCTTACATTACAACAGCGAGCATAGTTCAAAAGCAATGCCTTGGCTATGAACTACAATTGCTGCCGTGAAAGACACGATATAAATGTGAGTGTTTCTTTCTTCAATTCAAACCAGCAAAAGACACACGTACTTTGACAGAAATATGAAGAGGTTAATTAAATCCTAGCTTCTCATTAAACCAAAGTCTTCTTAGCCTTTGTTGTCTGAGCATAAGACGTCAATAGAGTTTCAACCAAATTCTAACATTTATTGCTCTGCATTGAGATTTGGCGAAAAATGCAGAAACACACATGTTCATCTTTTAGAGATAGTAGGAACTGCAGATGCTGGAGAATCCTTTAGGTCCCTCATATGAATTAAGAAACTAAAGATTTAAGTAATTTTAATTTACAAGACCATAGTAGATGGATGCTGAAAATTTCTATAATCGAGTCAACAATAATAGACTTTTTAATGAGGTGGCTCAGTCAAGTGGATACTAATCCAATTATATTTTACAGAGTATCCATGAACACCAGATGCAGTGCATAGCATTCTTTGACTTAGTAACTTGCTGACAGTTTGGAGAGATTTAGATAAACACATCCATTATCAGTCACATATACCTTAATTTCCCAGAAGATCTTATTTTAATGCTAATATTGGCCTGTTTAAAATAAATGGGCTAATGCTAAGATTAAAATAATACTGATCAGAAATTTTGCACTGCACCATATAAACACACCGACTGATCATACTCACTTAATGGAAAGTAGGAATCCTTCCCAATATCTTGACGTGCTGCCTCAATAGCGCGCTTCACGGCAAATAAAGTGACACAGGACATACACTGGGGAGGTTCACCAGAGGCTTTGGAACGAAGAACACCCATTGCGTTGGGAGCATTCTTTAATAGCTCGATGTTGAAATTAATGGGTATGCTCTGATAGACAAAACACAAACAAGATGATCTTACTAACAGCTGCACTAACATTTCCATTCTACAATTTTTGAATGTTTTTGGTGGGTCTTATCTTGTCCTCAAATGTACTAACTAAACCTCATCCGATCCTTTCTGCTTCTGGAATAAAACAAGATGCCTGAAAAGTAATTAACAACAGCTGATTCTTACCTCGATAAACTGTCAAGAGAGTTAAACAGAATTCAACAACCAAAAGAAAGTTGCTGTGCCTTCAATGTACTAGATTTTAGTAAACATACTGCTTCCTTCAGTTCACAACCTACCTTGCTGAATGGTGGTTTGTAATCCCATGTCCCTGCATTCAGCACCTCCCCAGTGTCGGGATCATAGATCACCTTCTCCATCAGCCAATACCCCATGCCCATGACAAAAGCACCTTCAATTTGTCCAATATCAATGGCAGGGTTCATGCTGCAGGTAATAAGGAGAACAAAGACAAATGGTCTACTAAAACAGACAATTAATTTGGTTAATTATCTCACTGCTGTTTGGAGAACTTGAAGCAATAACGTTAGTTGCTTTTCTTTCATCATGGCATGAAAAGGAAGATGGTTTGTTCAAAAGTAGTGATTTAGATATAGGATGTATGGTACTTTATATAAGTCTCTTTCTTAAAACACCACTATTGATGGCAATAGCAAGGTTATTGATGCAGTATAAAGGTTGATGAGATGATGCTTCTGATTTAAGAAACATGAAGTCTGAGGACTCCAGGGTACTTGAAGAAAGCAGTGCAGCAACAGCAAGGTTAACATTGTCTGTGGCAGTGTCAGCTCCCATCCACACCCCCGCTCCCTTTTCTTAAGCTGTAGATAGAATGACCGACAATTTGTGCAGCTTCTCTATTAACAGTTTCTTTTTAGGCTTCCCCTGCTATTGGATGGTCTCGTGTTCAGAAGCTAAGGTTAGAATCGCAACTTTCAAACATATATTTTTGCACCTGGGCAGTTGGTTGTATATTACTGGCAGTGCTGTAGATACAGCCAAGATTACACAGTGGACGCTAGAAAATTCAGTGAAGTTTATTAGACAACCATTTCTATAATACAAATACAGTGTTGTGCCAATGAAGGAAGGGTGATGTGAGAAAAAATGAGCATTTGACACAGCCAGTTGCTAGGGTCTGGAATGTACTGTCTGAAAATATAATGCAGGCAGGTTCAATTAAAACATTCAAGAAGGTATTGGAGCTTATTTGGATTGTAATGGTATGCAGGGATATGAAGAAAAGGGAGGAAACTGGCAATCACTAATAGAGCTGGATGAGAGAATAGGGTCAGTGTAGGTGCCATGGGCCAAATGGCCTCCTGCTGCACTGTAATAAATCTGTGATTCTGTGGCATCACACTTACAAAGCTTCCACTGGCAGCTTTCAATGGTATATCTATTCAACCCTCTGGGGGTCAGTGTTGGCAGAGTTATTTTCAAAACGATTCAATGCTTTATTGTCTTAATTCACAAAATTTGGTTAAATGATTCAGTCATTAAGCTGGTTCTTTTTTTGACTGAAAACAGAGGCAACCCTCAGAGAAGAGCCCAAGTGTTCAATATGACTGAACGTTTTATCTAAGGAACAGAATGTAACGGTGACAAATCACCAACATTTACTTTCTAACAGTATATTGGTGTTACCTGACAATTTTGTTTCCTACCTTTCACCGCAGTCAAAGAGCATGTCCACTTGATTAATCTGGTTCTCGCCGGTCAGGACATCAAGTTCAGCCTCTGCCACGGTCACTCCGTATGAGTTATACTGAGGGGCACCTTTGGGCTGTGGATCAGGCCACACCCTACACAGATGACACAATGTCATGTCTTTATAGAGATAAAAATCATTAACCATAACATTTTAGAAAAACACACTGTAAAGTAGACATTCAAGTTAATTGTACGTGGAAAGGCTAAAGAAGCTAACAAATATTTCTGCTTTTTGATTTAAGATGAGCAAAAATACATTGATTACTCAGTTATGACAGCAGGGTCATAATGATGTGTGCATAAACTTACTGCTAGTGATAAAGTGCAGGTCTCCAATAATACGCTGATTTCCAACTGAACAGAATCATTTTACAAAGGATGGCATCTTATCAATTGGAACACCCAGATCCTGAACCAATGGACAAGCGAGAGGCCAGATCAGTTCAATAATTATGCATGTAATGAATTTCCATCTTAGATGTGCTGCTGTGTGAAAGTGAGGAGGAGAAGCCAGACTGTTTCTCAAGCTAGAGGCAGAGCCAAAGTTGGCTGTTCTATTGCATCTAGCAGCAACAAGACATCGTTGATGACAGGCTGAGTGCCAATTCGATGTAACTAGTGCCTGGAGAAAATATATATCTACGCAGTGCCACTAATAACTTCCTAAAAGGTTAGTATTTCTAGCTGATACTCTCAGTTAATCTATTTCACCAATCACTTATTTATATACATAGCTCCTACCAACAACCCAAAAAATTTCCAATCCACAACTATCCAATCAAGAGGAACTGCTTTTCAACCAGTATAAGCAACTACTAAAAGAAAAGCATCATGAATTCTAAGATTATTTAGGCACAGCAGCTTGTGAGCAATAAGTAGCTGTGCGTAGTCGGGTGAAAAATGACAAGGATACATTAATTATACAGGAACCACTACTTCCAATATGTCAAAAAAAATTGTAAATTTTACAAAAACAATGCTCCTTCTTAAAGAATTAAAAGAGCAAAGTTAACAAGCACCATGGATGAACTTAGTTCAATGTATTAAATGTTTGTGCCCAGATTTTAACCATATAATGGCCAAAATTTTGCAATAATAATAATGGACAAACTATTAATGTTCACCACTATTACTTCTCTGAAACTGACAGCAACTTTGGGATCTCCACGTAAGCTGCTGATACTGAATCTATAATTCTCTACAGGATACACTATTTAAATTCTCACAGCGATTACAGTTAATTATTAATCATTGAACTGATGAGAACGTCCCTTTTATGTTGCAACATGTTTGTAATCCTGAGAAACCTACACCTTGTCAATGGTCAGAATTTTTTTAAGCAAGTTGCTTGTGATATTTCAGCTTCTATTGACTGTGCTCCAATTTATTTTAATCTCTAGAAAATTTATAAGAAACGAAGGATAATCAGTGGACTTTAATTCCTGGTTAGCTGTCTGTGAGAATTCTTCAGTATAATTGGCTGCTCACTCTGTTTTATGGTATACTTATTGCTGGGCAACTGAAGACTCTTTTAACTTTCAGCCGGTGACAAGTAGTAAGGTACTTATCGGCCGTGATTGAATGGCGGAGCAGACTCGATGGGCCGAGTGGCCTAATTTCTGCTCCTGTGTCTTATGGTCTTACGGTCTTATGGTGTTCCACAAGGGTCAGTGTTGGGACCACAACTTTTCACTTTATACATTAATGATCTAGATGAAGGAGCTGTGGGCATTCTGGCTAAGTTTGCAGATGATACAAAGATAGGTGGAGGGACAGGTTGTAATGAGGAGGTGGGGAGGCTGCAGAACGATTTGAACAGGTTAGGAGAGTGGGCAAAGAAGTGGCAGATGGAGTACAACATGGGAAAGTGTAAGGTCATGCACTTTGGTGAGAAGAATAAAAGCATGGACTATTTTCTAAATGGAGAGAAAATCCAAAAGTCTGAAATACAAAGAGACTTGGGAGTTCTAGTCCAGGATTCTCTCAAGGTAAACTTCCAGGTTGAGACAGTAGTCAGGAAGGGAAATGCAATGTTGGCATTTATTTTGAGAGGACTTGAATATAAAAGCAGGGATGTACTACTGAGGCTTTATAAGGCCCTGTTCAGGCCACAGTTGGATTATTGCGTGCAGTTTTGGGCCCCATATCTCTGGAAGGATGTACAGGCCCTGGACCGGGTTCAGAGGAGGTTCACCAGAATGGTCCCACAGATGAGAAACTTAACATATGAGGAACGTTTGAGGATTGTGGGACTATACTCATTGAAGTTTAGAAGGATGAGGGGGGATCTAATTGAAACTTACAGAATACTGAATGGCCTGTACAGAATGGATGTTGGGAAGATGGTTCCATTGGTAGGAGAGTCTAGGACCCGAGGGCACAGCCTTAGAGTAAAGGGAAGACCTTTTAGAATGGAGATAAGGAGAAACTTTTTCAGCCAGAGAGTGGTGAATCTATGGAATTCACTGCCAAAGAAACCTGTGGAGGCCAGGTCATTGAGTATATTTAAGACTGAGATATATATGTTCTTGATTATCAAGGGGATCAAGGGTTACGGGGAGAAAGCGGGAGAATGGGGTTGAGGAACCTATCGGCCATGATTGAATGGTGGAGCAGACTTGATGGGCCGAATGGCCTTATTTCTGCTCCTATGTTTCATGGTCTTATGGTCTAACTTAGTTCAAATTAACATCAGGAAACGGTAAATCCACACCTCAGGTCAGCAGAGAATGTTGTTACGTTGCTGCTGACTGCAAAATCAAAACTTTTATAACTTATGTACAAGTTTTATCTTTTGAAAGAGTCAAACACAAACTCGAACAGTAGTCTAACTTCATCATTCAGATTCCATAAGGATTACCTGATTAATTCAGTTACTCACCAATCATGTGCAGTCAAATTCACTTTGGCTTTGAAACAGGCTGCCACCAGCTCCTTCCAAGGAGTACCTGGCGGAAGTTTATCCTTCACAGGGTCCATTCTCTTCCTCAATATCTCACAACAATTTTTTACACCCTGTGAGGAAACCAAATCACGAGTTTACGGGATAGAGAAAAGTATGAGACTGCCACCAATATATGAAATGACAGGGTCCGGCAATTCAATCCTTTCCTAAACCATCCTTGAAGATCCAAATAGTGCTGCCTATCTCAATGATATAAGTTCCGAACTAAATAACAATTCTAAATAACTGTTTACAGAAGTACATAGCACTTTTCAGTTCATATATTATTCCTGAATTAGGAAGGCAAACAGTATGTTGACATTCATTTCAAGGGGATTTGATTTGAATACATATTCTAAGCTAGCCTCCATTCAACAGGATTCGATATGAAGTAATAATGTCCTGCTGTAGTTGCATACAGCTTTGGTAAATCCTCACCTGGAGTATTATGAAAAGTTTTAGCCTTGTTATCCATGAAATAATCTACTTGCCATTGAGGGAATATATGCAGGTCTACCAGATTAATCTCTGGGATAGCAGGACTGTTTCATGAGGAGCAATTAGATTCATAGAGTCATAGAGATGTACAGCATGGAAACAGACCCTTTGGTCCAACTCGTCCATGCCAGCTAGACATCCTAAATTAATCTAGTCCCATTCGCCAGCATTTGGCCCATATCCCTCTAAACCCTTCCCATTCATATACCCATTCAGTTGCCTTTTAAATGTTGTAATTGTACCAGGCTCCACCACTTCTTCTGGCAGCTCATTCCATACATGCATCACCTTCTGTGTGAAAAAGTTGTCCCTTAGGTCCTTTTTAAATCTTTTCCCTCTCACCTTAAACCTATGGCTTCTAGTTTTGGACTCGCCCACCCCAGGGAAAAGACCCTACTTATCCTATCCATGCCCCTCATGATTTTATGAAACTCTATAAGTTCACCCCTCAGCCTCCTATGCTCCAGAGAAAATAGCCCCTATAGCTCTCCCTATAGCTCAAACCCTCCAACCCTGGCAACATCCATGTCAATCTTTTGTGAACCCTTTCAAGTTTCACAACATCCTTCCTATAGCTGAAGACCAGAACTGCATGCAGTATTCCAAAAGTGGCCTAACCAATGTCCTGTACAGCTGCAATATGACCTCCCAACTCCTATACTCAATGCAGTGATCAATAAAGGCAAGCGTACCAAACGCCTTCTTCACTATCCTGTCTACCTGTGACTCCATTTTCAATCTGCACCCTAACATCTCTCTGCCTTTCCAAAATGCAGCACCTCACATTTATCTAAATTAAACTCCATCTGCCACTCCTCAGCCCATTGGCCCATCTGAGGTAACATTCTTCGCTGTCCACTACATCTCCAATTTTAGTGTCATCTATAAAACTTACTAACCATACCTCTTATGTTCACATCCAAATCATTTATATAAAATGACAAAAAGCAATGGACCCAGCACCATCCTTGTGGCACACCGCTGGTCACAGGTCTCCAGTCTGAAAAGCAACGCTCCACCACCACCCTCTGTATTCTGCTTTCGAGCCAGTTCTGTATTCAAATAGTTAGTTCTCCCTGTATTCCATGTGACCTAACCTTGCTAATTGAGGAAACTGGGTCTATTTTCCCAAGAGTTTCGAAGAAAGAGGGGTGATTTCAAAGAGACTTAGAAATTTAACAAGATGGATATAGACGGGATGTTCCCCCTGGCTGGAGGTTCTTGAACTAGAGAAAATAATTTCAGGATTACAGCAGAGGCCATTTAAGACTGTGATACAGAAAAACTGCCTCATGGCACCACCTGCAAGTTCCCCTCTAAGGCACTCATCATCCTAACCTGGAAATACATCATCATTCCTTTAGTATTGCTCAGTCAAAATCCTGTAACTCCCTTCCTAATACCACTGTGTGAGTTCCTATACCAAAAGTATCACAACTGTTCAAGACTGAAGCACATCACCACACTCTGGAGGGAAATTAGGGATAGACAATAAATGCTGGTCCAATCAGTGAAGACCGCATGCCCTAAATGAATAAAACAAAAACTCACAGGGTCATGAACCTTTGAAATGCTCCACCACAGAGGGCAGTGGAAGTTCAATAAGGTTCAGGTTGAGGAGGTTCAGGACAGAAATTGATAGATTCCTGCAGATTAATGACATTAAGGGATATGGAATTAGTACAGGAAAGCAGCATTGAGGTGATGATCATCCATGATCTAGAATGGTGGAGCAGGCTTGATTATTGGAATGGTTTACAGCACTTCCTATGTTCATATGTTATGTATACAGAAGTAACAGCTCAAAAACAGCCCTGATCCAGTAAAAAGACAGCTTAACATTGCAATCTCATACCCTGCTGAATCGCAACTCACATTTACTTACATAGAATTTACAGCACTAAAACAAATCATCCTTTTCTCATTAGCACATCCTTCTTTTCTCCTTAAAGTACGTACTTAGCTTTGCTTTAAATACAACACCTCAACAACTCCAAGGTTAGAGAGTTCTAATCACATTTTAGCGACTCTGAGTAAGAGTTTTTTCCAAATTTCCTTCCTTATGAGTGACTTATCGGTATATTTAAAGGATATTTTTAGAACAAGATAAAGTTCTTGGCTTTGATCAAGACCTTGGGTTTATCACTGATTAGCCACAATTCTACATGTTTGGGTGAGACCACTGTCTAAATGGTGCTGCGAAGCATCACCAACAATGAAATGGAGCAAACTGCAGATCCATCACATTGAGCTATATTGCACATTGTTTGTATGTCAGCTGTGACTTCATTGGTAACATTCTTGTCGTTGTGTCGGAAGGTTCCAGGTTCAAGTCTCACTCCAGAACTTGATCCCAAAGTCAAGGCTTGAACTCCAGTGAAGTGTTGACAGCATGCTGCAATGTTGGAGGTGCCATCTTATGTGGGTATCAAACATGCCACAGCAGTATGTGAAAGAAGCACAAGTATTTTATTACCAGTGTCACTGTCAATGCTCATAGCTCGATGATGGTATATTGTTATGAGTGTTATGAGTTACTTATATCTAGAAGGATACAGTGAAAAGTGTTTTGTTGCCACAATCCAGCACCATTTTGAGTTATAAAAAGAATAAAAAGAAATTGCATAAAGGAAGTTCATCTTCAGTACTATCAGTGGTCAGCACTATTATTTCTTTGAAACTGACAGCAACTTTGGGATCTCCACGTAAGCTGCTGATACTGAATCTATAATTCTCTACAGGATACACTATTTAAATTCTCACAGCGATTACAGTTAATTATTAATCATTGAACTGGTGAGAACGTCCCTTTTATGTTGCAACATGGCTGTAATCCTGAGAAACCTACACCTTGTTAATGGTCAGAATTTTTTTAAACAAGTTGCTTGTGATATTTCAGCTTCTGATGTCTGTGCTCCAAACAACTATTTTGCCCTCTATAGAATTTATAAGAAGTGAAGGATAATCAGTGGACTTTAATTCCTGATTTGTTGTCTTGTGAGAATTCTTCAGTATAACTGTCTGCTTATCCTAATTTATGGTATACTTACTGCTGGACAACTGAAGGCCCCTTTAACTTCAATTCAAATTAACATCAGGAAAGGGTAAATCCACACCTCAGATCAGCACATTCTGTACAAGGGTCTTCAAAGACAGCTCCAGGGCTTCTACAAGATCTCTGCAAGGTCTCCTGGGCTTCAAGGAGTCCCCACTCCAGGTACAGCAATGACAACCCACCAAGATTCCACACTTCAGGCATTCTCGCAGCCAGGAGTCCCTGCTTCACCCACTGCTCCAGCTTCCTCATGACGTCAGAAAATGAGGAAAAGTGAAGGAAAAAATGAAGAAGGAGAAAGAGAGAAGGATGTAACTAGCCTGGAGCAGACGGGCTCAGGAACCCAAACCCGTTAATGTTACTAGACTAGCAATCCAGAAGGGCAGATTAATGCAGTGGGGATATGGGGTCAGATCTCATCACGACAATTGATGGAATTTGTATGCCATTTACAAAACTTGAATACAAAGCAAGTCTTAGTAATAGTAACCATGAGAACTGGATCGATTATTGCAAAAGCCCATTCAGTTCACTAATGTGCTTTCAGGAAGGAATCCTGCCATCCTTACCTGGACCAGACTGTGTGTGACTCCAGATCCAAAACAATGTAAATGCAGAGTTAAATTCAGAACAAATTTCTTCACTCAGAGAATGTGGTTCGAACTCTCTAACATTGGAGTCAATGAGATAATATATTTAAGGCAAAACTAACTAAGTACTTTAAGGAAAAAGAACAGAAGGAGATGCTAATGAGAGAAGAATGACTCGTTTTTGTGCTGTAAATTCTATGTAAGTAAATGTGAGCTGCTATTGAGTGAAGTATGGGATTACAATATTAAGTTGTCTTTACATTGGATCAAGACCATTTCTGTGCTGTTAATTCTGCGTACATAACAGGTGAACATAGGAACCGCAGTAAACCATTCTAACTGAGCTCACTGCAACATGTCAGATAATGGATGAATCTCACCTCAGTGCTACTTTCCTGTTGAATCTTTATATTTGCTGTAGGAACACACAGAGTGGTATTAAGTAGGGAGTCACAGGATTTTGACACAGCAATACTGAAAGAATGGTGATATATTTCCAGGTCAGGATGATAAGTGATTTAGAGGGAAACTTTCAGGTGATGGCATGAAGAAAGATTTTCCGTATCTTGGTCTAAATGGCCTCTGCCATAATCCTGAAATTATATCTCCCGTACTAGAACCTCCAGCCAGGGAAGCATCTTATCTACATTCACCCTGTCATACCCTGTATGAAATTTCTAAGTCTCTTTGGGATCACCCCTCATTCTTAACTGCCTTCTGAAATGGCCACTCAGTTCCAGGGAATGGGCAGAAAACTGTCGGTGTTGAAAGTGACACCCACACCCCATTAAAGAATAAAAAATTATCCCTCAGTCAACATCCTTAAATGCTTTTGTGGTAATCATTGCATTGCTGCTTTTGGGAGTCTGCTGCATGCAAATTGGTTGCTATGTTTCCTACCTCACAAGAGTGCCAACCTATTCCAGAAGTGGAACAGGGTGCTGCTGTAGGAATATTTCCTTCAGAATGTTGGAAGGGACTGGGAATGATAAAGGTGCTTGGTAGTGGTATCATGTTGTAGGTGGCCAATGTGGAGAATGACGCCTTGAAAGTGGGTGCTCCTGGAGTGAAGCCAAATCCTGGCAGGATCCCACTTCTTGTATTTCCACTTAATGATAATATACCATTCCTGCCGAAGGAACACTTCTCATCACTCCTGGCAGGAGCTGGTAAAAACTTGATATAACAACTTAAATGTAATCATTACTATCACATTGATGGTTGAGAATGGCTGTTCTGAAAAATATAAAGTCTCACCAGACAGTTAAGTTCACTGGTCATGCTGCCACCAGTTGGACCAGAGTTCGGACTGCTAATTGTTGTGGTTGGTTTTATGGAGACGTTATCAACCGGAATTCCTAACGCATAGGCACACACTTGAGCAACCTGTTTTCCAGAAGGAGGTACAAATCAGACATTTTCTTCAACATCCAAATAATAAAGCACCTTAGACAATGGTGAAAATATCAGACATTTTTTCCTCCCTCCTGTCCCAGAGGAAATTGGATAATGTACATGTTGCATTCACTGAACTTGACACAAGCCGAAAGTGGTGTATTCTGTACTAATAATTAATGTTTATTTGGGAGTATATCTTGAACTTGGTTGAAGAGAATTTGTGTGCAGTACAACTTAAAGCAAGATAGCAATGTGAGCTGAAATTTCTTGGAAGCTTTTGGTATGACTGCAAGGACAGGATTGTGCCATTTTCTTTTGAGGTAATTCGTTTGTAACTGAGCTATGCTCATTTTACATTAAAACATTGGTAAGCATGAATTTTCTTAATATATGCATTGCTTCTGATATAGGTCTATCAAAGTCTTCTGCCATTTATTTGCATGGTTCCATCCCTCATACTAAAACTTAGTTCAAGTAAACTTCCTGCATTAAGTCATGTATTGGTGTAGATTTCCATCCACAAGTTTAGGTGTAGTACAGCCAGACGATGACTAATGGCAACAAGACCAAAATTTTGAAGATTATTGATACTTTTCTTTGGTGATTTTTTAAAAGAAACCAATCTTTGCTAAAATCTGCAGAACACTAAGGTGCTATCAGTTTCAATGCATCCAAATTTATTTTTCTATTATATCCCAAAATCAGATCATTTAGACATTACCACATTGTTATTTGAAGAGGTTTTTGTGCAATTTGGTTCCCATGTTTCCTACAGCATAACAATGACTGCACTTCAAAAGTACATTATTGTTGGAAAAGCAATTGAGGGCATTCAGTGATCTTAAAAGCTGCCATATAAATGCAGGACATTATTTTCCTTTTAGCCCTTGCTTTATGCTAGTTTTTAACATTTGGTTCTTTCAAATTCACACAGTGTGAACTGCCAAAATATTAAGTCAAATGCCAAGTGCCTGACCACTCAATTTCCCTTCCTGGTAGGCAATGAAAATGCTTCACTCTCTTTAAATTGTCACCTCCTCCCCTTCAAAACCATTGCCAACATCTCTGTCCTCAAAAAACCTATCACTGACCCTGTATTTTTGCCTTCTACTATCTCCAGCTCCACTATTCTCCGAAACTTTGTTGAACATATAACTGCTTTACAAATTTGTACCCACCTGCAACTTGGTGAATGCATCTCTCCAATCATGGTTGTGCCCATTACCTATCTTCTTGCTTGGCCTCTAGTATTCTCTGTCCAGGACTGCACAGAGTATCCTCCCCAGCCAAGTGGGACTGCTTCTATTTCCATTCTTATTTATCAAATTGTTGTCACAGCACTAAAGCAGTAACTCCTCCTCCCATCCTGGTACCATTATATCTCAAGATCCCAAGAATCTGACCATGTCCCTCTCCCTCAGCTGTATTGGATTTCCAGCAACATCATCAGCCTCACGTGTAGGCTAACGACATTTAGCTCCATCTCTCCATGTATTTTGACATTCCCACTGACGCTATGCTATGAAATTACTCATCTAACATTCAATCCTATTTAATTTAAGCAAAATACTGTGAATGTTGGAAACCTGTGAGGTTTGATGCATTTGCTATCAGTAGGTGGGCCTTTTTTTCTCCCTTTCACACTCAACATTTGCACTTATTTTATAATCTTTTATCTCTCCTTTACCACGATAGGCATTTCCTTTGTCTTCAGTTCTGGGCACCCCCACCATCGGTTCCACTTGTTATTCATCCACTCTGTCAAAAGCCATCATCTTCCAGCCCCTATCAGTTCTGAACAGTCATATCATATTGGACACAAAACATTAATTTTGTTTCTCTTTCTTCAGATACTGACAGACTTGCTGAGTTGCTCCAGCATTTCCTGTTTCAAACCTGTTTCACTATCACTTCCTCTGATTTAATACTTGCAAGATCAAAAACATCATCTAAGATCACTGCAACAAATCCCAGACCCTCGTCAACATCTCAAAAACAACCAAACCATTAGAAAGCTTTAGAGACATTTACCAAAGATGAAGGTGGGGCAGAGGGTTTCATCACTGGCTCAGGAGTAGGTAAGAGTCAGGCAGGAGTCATGTTGGCTCCTTTGGGGAAGCCAGCCAAACTGAGTGCCCATCAGGCATTTTGGTACACAGTGGTAGGCCCTCAAGAACTCCTTAGGGGAGAAAATCCTGCTCAAAAGAGTCTGGCAGTTGTGCTAGTCGGAGTGGGAGTTGGGGGGAGGTGGAATCTGGTAGCAACGTATCCACCAAAGGCCCAGGATTGCTAAAGGACACCAGGTCAAGCGTGAATGAGGGCAGGATAAAGTCTCTAGGTCACTGGGTATTTGTGTGTGTGTGTGTGTGTGTGTGTGAGTCTGTGTGCGTCTGTGTCTGTGTGTCTGTGTGTGTGTGTCTGAGTGTGCGCATGTAAGTGTGTGTTTCTGCGCCTGTGTGTACAGTTTACCGTCAGCAGCTAGGGAAGAGGACTGGCTCTCAGTGCCTCCTTTTTGATGCCCAGTAAGTGCTTTTGATCAAGGGACCCCCTTGGAGGGCCACAAACAGACATGACAAGGTTTGCTTTTCAGGTTTCGCAGATGGTAACTCCCTCTGCCAGCTGCTGGATGGATACCAGTGGCAGTGGGATGATGCCCTTAGTGGTCAATAACTGCCCACACACAAGACACTGTTTAATGTAGCCAATATGTATAGCATCTAATCCTTTGGGAAAGGGATCATACAGGTTGCTAATCTCTGCTGTATTCTTAACTGCAACAGTTATTCCCCATTCAATCAGGGCCTGACCTGAAAATAAAGATTGACATGATGTGGAGGTGTTGGACAAGGTCAGAAATCACACGACACCAGGTTATAGTCCAACAGGTTTATTTGAAAACACAAGCTTTCGGAGCCTCACTCTTTCTTTAGGTGTTAGTGAGAGAGGTAGTATCAGACGCAGAATTTATAAGTAAAAGATCAAAGGGTCACACCGCTGATCAGGATGTATTACACAAACCTAAAAGATGCTGTTAAATCTTTAATCAGTTAGAAGGTTTTAATTTATTAATATGTGTATGTAAATCCCCAAATTCCTTTCAAGTCACTGTCCTGAGAGAACTGAAGGTTTTATTGGTGTAAAGAAGAGGTGACATTTTGGGTCAGAGAATGCATGTTAGGTGTGAGGCCTTGTTTAGAATTTGTTTGTGTTTTGGTTTGGAGTCAGACTGGTTTAATTTCTAAAACAGGAATTCATAAAATGGCACATTGACTGACTGTCTATAAATTGCGTGTTTTTTGAATAAAATAGAATAAATCTGCAAATACAAATTCACCCCATAGATTTACGTGTCTGTCCGTGTGTGTGTGCCTGTTGGGGGGGAGTTTGTGTATATGGGAGGGAGTGTGTGTGGGGGTGTGGTAGAGAGTGTGTGTTTGTGTGTGTGCGGGGGGTGGTGTGAGAGAGAGTGTGTATGTGTGTGTGTATATATATATGCGTGGGGGGCTTGTGGGAGAGAGAGAGAGTGTGTGTGTGTGTATGGGGGGGTTGGGAGACAGAGTGTGTGTGTGGGGGGGCATGCTGGGTGGTGGGTGGTGGAAGAGAGAGTGTGTTTGTCTGTGTGTGTGTGTGTTTGTGTGTGTGTGTATGGGGGGGGGGGGGGGGGGGGGGGGGGGGGCGGCTGTGGGAGAGAGTGTGTGTGTGAGAGAGAGAGATTGATAGTAAACTCTTCCTGCTCCATCATGTCAGTGATAGCCCAGCCAATCAGCGCTGTCTTCTCATGCAATCTAAACTGCTGTTCCTTCTATAAGTCAGATTTCTTGTGTCTTGGTCTGAATGAGTGCAAGACACAAAGCTTCAACCGCATGTTCCCTTTGAACAGTTTAACTTCTGAAAATCATGAAAACTGTTTCTTTCAAGAGTTGCAAAATGTAAAACTCTGCTGTTGCAGAGTTAGGGGACTTTTAATCAGGTGGGAGGAGAATGGGGGCCTGACCATTTCCTGTCTTGACCCAATGAAGTCAGTCTGGGGATGGCTTGTGAATGCTTTTCCCACCCAGATGCTAACTGAGTCCCTCAAATAGGTAATAATTACGCAGTAAAAGTTCTGACCTGAACATTTCTGGTACTGAGCCAGCGATGGGTAGGAGAGGTGCCTCACAGTAATCCCAAAGAAGCAAACTCAGAGTGAGTGATAGTGCCTCTCCCTCACACTCACACACCTGAGTAGAAATATTAGCAATGAGCCACAGATCACTCTGTCCTAAGGTGAGCAGCCACTAAATTGGGACCCAGCATGCAGACCATATTCTAGCATCCATTTGCAGAAGCTGTCTGGATAAGGTTTCGATCTCTTCCATTCCTGACTTAGCTCCGGAAATGTTAATCCCATAAATCAAACATTTTCTTATCCTAAGCCTTACACCTGTACTGAGATTTCAAGCATAACCGTTGTGTTACTATCACCACAGTGAAAGCAGTTGAAAAAAGAATCCTTCCACTGGATTTCTGCATCCTGAACATTTCTGATGTTCCTCACCCCTTTGAAATGTTTAATCCAAAACAGTCCCCAAACTGTTACTGAACTGGTTTTGACAGCTCCTGTAATGTACCTACAGGATGTAAAATGTCAAGTAATTAAGATTTCACTGGGAACAGAATAAAAGAAGGGAACAGTGGGAATGTAACAGGATTAAGATACTAAAATGTAGGAAGCAAAACTAAACTCTTGTGTAATGAGAAATCACTCCATAAATTGTGAAGCCTACCTTAGTATCAAGGCCTTGACCAGATTCAATGCCACCTTGTGAAACCATAACTGAACCATCACTGGCAAATATTGAAACAGTGCCTGAAATTACAGTAAATTACCGTTAGAAATCACAATTTGTGATGCTGATAAATAAACCTCTCATCAAAGTACAATGTTACCTGGTTATTACAAATGTAGGCAGAAAGAACCATGTGGTGACTGGAATGTTCCTGGTGTTAACGAAAACAAATATTTACTCAAAACAAGCATTCAAAGTATTGCTAGGTGTAATCATATGTGAGCCAAATGTTTATTGAAATTTTCCAAAATATGCATAGGACAACTTTATCCCATGTGATTCTGTTACTGACATATTCCTAGGAAAGAAATAACAGCACACGAGACAATGGGTCAGTGGCGATGTTTGGAGGATTGCTGTTGCTTCAGTACAGTGACCCAATGGGAACACCAGTGAAAAGAAGCAGCATAGGAGAGGAGGGGCAGAGCAGAGGACGGGTTCTGTTTTTATGACATTAGTTACTGTATTCAGGTAAGTTCTTAACAGTCTCAAAGATTTAGAGTGGGCTTGCAAAACAGCAGACCCCATATACACTCCACTGCGAAGGAAAACCGGAAGTGAGGTAATCCAGCTCTATGGACACCAGAGTTTAAATAACAGGCGGGAAAACACAACGGCGCTTCATCGGAGGCCGCACTGATAATGTTACCCAGCAGGGTAATGAAACGTCTGCGGAATAACAAACCAGCTCAGCGAGCCAACCAATCTCAACATCCACAACCTGAGCTACAAATCTACTCCAAAACCATACAGGAGTAGTCAGGTTGGGGAGGTTAGTTAGATTGAAGGGTGGGTACTTGAGTTGAGTTGGAGGGCATCAGTTGTTAGTGAATTTATAATTGTCTCATTGGATGTAGTCAGGTCAGATAAGAGGGAGGTGCAATTGAGATTGTGTATGGGGTGTTTGGTTGCCCTTGTGTTATGCTGTTAATCATTGGTTTGCAATAAAAACTAAAGTATGTAACAATTCTGAAGTATTTGGTAAAGTTGCATATTTCCAGCCACAATTTGTGATACTAGGATTGCTGAAAGAGACACAGGCACAGTGTCCCAGGCAGCATATCATGCCATTGTAATTTAAACTTTCGGAGCAATTGCAGTGTCTTTGTGCATGTAAAGACTTTCAGTGAAGAGTCCCAGTAGCCACAGCAACCCAAGTTCAGAACATTATTGCACCTTACAGTGAAAGAGCTAGCATGATACTTCACATAAATACCCCTGTTCTGAAGTTAGCAGGAGATGAACTCTTCTGCTACTAAGCCTAGACCAGTTTGTTGCACTTAATACCACAGCCTGTTCAAAGTCAGTGCAAATGGGTTAATGAATCCCAGTGCACTAAGGAAACAGAAGACCAAAGGCCTTTTCTTTATTCACAATAAAATAGAAAAACTTCAATTGAGACTATTGAACAAATGAGTATGTAATTTTAACCTGGAATCATAGAAACCTTGCAAAGAGCATCCCAGCCTATCAAAGTTAGGCTGGAATTGAACTGTGGTCTTTGGTGCTGTGAAGCAGCAGTACTAGCCACTGTGCCAACTGGGTGAAGCCAATATCTTAACTTCACCAAACCTAAAACAGGCAGCAATTCTGATTGCAGGACCAGCCTTAGGGAGAGCCTTTTGTATTTTGGTGCCCTTTTCTTTCAGCTTATGTGTGTGCGAGAATTAACGCAAGTTGCAAGAATAGAGCAGTAACTCAAAACGTTATCTGTAATTCAAAAAAAACCACCACAAAATAACAATGGAATTGAGTGTCAAAAGGGTAAACATTGAATTAAATACTAAAGAAATAAATAATTTTAAAAAATGGTTCATCAAGATTTCAATGCTCTGAAGGCTTGTGCTTGTTTTTTGGATTACTCCAAACTGTAGTAGTATTGTGTTGATACCTACAGTAGCTGGAGCTTCTGAGCCGAAGTAAAATACACCGAATTGCAATAATTCTGCTAAATGCCAAGGCACTGAGTCTAACAGAGCTAGAGCAATCCCCTTACATTGCGCTCCAGACTTTTTGAGTATTGTCAGACTATCGACTGAATGCTTATTTACGCTGAACGATGATAATTCATAGTATGATAATGTATAAAACTGAGTAAACTTGCTTTTAGGGTCAAGTTGAAGGGAGCAAATTACTGCAGATGCTGGAATCTGAACTGAAAACAAAAAGTGCTGGAGATCACAGTGGGTCAGGCAGCATCCATGGAGAGAAAGCAAGCTAACATTTCGAGTCTGGATGGCTCTGCTTCAGAGCTGATGTGAAGTGTGGAGGCGTCAGCATTTATGCAATAGGTTGGGGAGTAGTTTGGAGTGCTGGGAGAGAAATGGTATTGATAGTTTAGATTAAGTGATCAAAATTTGAGAATGGCACAACATCGTGTGTCTAACTGCCAGACTGGAAAGAACAGTCCCACTGGGGGTGGGGGAAGGAAGAGAGGGTAACAGTTGAAGGGAGTCTTTTTCAGCCGGTAGTTTGGGTTGTGCTCAATTAGTGGTTTCAATGCCTTTCAGCTGGGATATGTTGGCTGTGGATGAAGCTGCTTTTTGTCAAGCTAATTGTCAATCTGACAATTAAAGAAGTCAATGTCAAGCCAAATAGAAACAAATGTTTCTTTCACGTCACACAAGACTTGATTGCGCAACCATTCTTACTAAATACACTGCCTTATAGAATAAGTTAAAAAAGCATTTAAGATAATTACATTTGATAGATGTTAAAACATTTTCAAAGAACAATAGAGATATTCTTCCTCCATGATGTGTATGCAATCCCCTGATGATTTCAATTATGCAATCTAAACCAGCTATAGGACCACAGCGTTTCAAACCACACTCACACAAATAATAGCTTTGAGTCCAATACAGGCCGTATTTGAGGGGAACCACTGCCAGTCCTTTCTTCTTCCACCTGTGTTCTGCATTGAATTTCTTAATGGCTTGCAGTTGCCCAGCCACATCCACTTTTTCTATCTGACCTGTTCAGAATGACAATAAAAATGGTTAAATGCTCCAATTTATTAAAAGGATGCAACAGGAAAAATACAATGATGCTGTCCAAGTGTTTTTGCATAACATAGACATGAATGTACAACAGTCAATCACAGCAGAATCATCTACACTTCATATACTTTGTGTATTTATTAGTAAGTACGACTGAAAACAAATAAAAATCAGATGAGCCATGAAGTATGCGAACTTATCTCTGCATTGTGATTAGTATCCTAAGCACACAAGCCCCATGTTGAGTGCACAAATTTTCCCTGTTTATAATATATTTCCTTTTGCTGCAGTCATTAACTTGACAGCTTGACTTGCACTAATTCTACTCCTACGGATGCTTTTGTAAGACAGAAAGAGCTTATAATGGAATGTCTAGTTGACCATCCATTCAACAGCCTCAGAAGATGCCAAATGGAATTCCTCCTGCAATGGATCATAGAGGGCAGGACAATGTTTGTAATCCACAGACTGGATTCATGGCTACAATCGTATCTCAGGTCAGCCCTAATTTTCCACTATTTCTACTTTTAACTCTTCACCTCAACAACTGGTTTCGTTTAATTCTGCAACTTTTCAGCTGAGAAATTGAGCAGATAACCAGGTTTGGTTATGTTATATTTGATAATGTTATGGCATGCAAGTCTGATTTCTTTAGCAGATTGTGAATGAATGAAGGTGGCACTATTTTCTCCAGGGTCTGTGAAGGGTAGGCGGCATTTTTATGCTAAAATAAAACAAAGAAATGCAGACTCTGGAAATCTGAAACAAAAACAGAAATTGCTGAAGAAACTCAGCGGGTCTGGCAGCATCTGTAGAGAGAAAGGAGTATTAACATTTCAGGTCCAGTGACCCTTCTTCTGTTCTGTTCTGAAGAAGAGTCACTGAACCCGAAATGTTAACTCTGCTTTCTCTCCACAGATGCCTGGCAGACCTGCTGATTTTCTCCAGCAAGTTCTGTTTTTGTTTTGGGAGACATTTTCAACTAGGGTTTCTGATTCTACAATTGGCAATTCAGGAGGTACATGATGATGTCAATTCTAGCCGCTGATGTGTTGAACAGCTCAGCTGGCTTATTAAGACCACAGATCAGTGTTCTTCCTCACTGACCTGTACAGATCTTTGTCTATCATCACAAGAAGTGTAACCGTCAGAGCTTACAGTTTCAAAATGTAACATTCAAACACCTAAAAATGTATTTGGTTCCAGAATGAGTGTGGTCAATGTATGAACATATACCAGCAGGCAGCCTGAACCGACATTACACAAGCATTTCTTCCTGTGGCTTGTGATTATAAATATCTGTGGACACAACTGGGGCCATTGAAGAACAATGAAAAATAAAACATTTAAACCACCTTGTGTTAACATGTGGTGTGCATGAAACAAAAAGAGAGATGCATATATCATCTTTGAACGTGACTACCAAATCAGTGGTAATATTTGTTAAAGGGCTCTTTGGGTATTCTTAACATTTATCGACTATATTTAGACAGCTCAGTTACTTCATCAGCATTCTAGAGAAGTCAGAAAGATAGGTGCAAAGCTATACAGGATTTCACATCCACTGCTGTAGTTACCAAAGACAATAATAGGTTATCACAGAAGCAGAATCTGTCCAATCTAGCATCAAACTCACTTGAGTAAAGATCCTGGATACTGCAGTACGGCAGGTCAAAGCCCAGTGGTGTGATGTCTCCTTGAGCATACAAGTTCCTCTGCTTTACAATGATTGGATCCAATGACAGAAATTTGGCCACATGTTCAAGAATGGTCTCAATGACAAATATGTTGGGTTTTGAACCTGTAAAAGCAGAAAGTTTATATTTGTATGTCAACTTGGCTTAGTGCTGGAACTCTAGCCTCTGATATATTGTGGTCACGTCACATTTTTTAATTGAGTATGTAATCTGGGCTGATATTCAGCGATTTGGCTGATTCAGTATTACTGTACATATACAGTGCTGCATAATCATAGGTGGAATCTTTGAGATGAAATGTCCTGCTTAGATAGTGTTCAAACAACAACAAGTTCCCTCAGTGACCTCCCCTCAACTACATTACCAACACCAGTTTAGTTCTCATCTCTATCTTGAGTTCCATTTTCAGCTTTAATGAGAAGTTCAATTCTAATTTCCAATTTCGACCAAACTGACTCAAATATAAATAACTACTGCTTTTGCATTTACTTAAAACAACACTAGATATCAGAGGGTACTGCTGAAACCCAACTTGTTGTTGGCTGTTCATCTTAAGCTTGATAGTAATAACATGGTCAACAGTAATATTATGCACAGTTCTGAATATCAAAATTAGCTTGGACAGGCATTCAGTGATAGATCAGGGAACTAATATGATAGAACATAGAACATAGAACATTACAGCGCAGTACAGGCCCTTCGGCCCTCGATGTTGCGCCGACCTGTGAAACCAATCTGAAGCCCATCTAACCTAAACTATTCCATTATCATCCATATGTTTATCCAATGACCATTTAAATGCCCTTAAAGTGGGCGAGTCTACTATTTTTGCAGGCAGGGCATTCCACGCCCTTACTACGCTCTGAGTAAAGAACCTACCTCTGACATCTGTCCTATATCTATCACCCCTCAATTTAAAGCTATGTCCCCTCGTGCTAGCTATCACCATCCGAGGAAAAAGGCTCCCACTGTCCACCCTATCTAATCCTCTGATCATCTTGTATGTCTCTATCAAGTCACCTCTTAACCTTCTTCTCTCTAACGAAAACAGCCTCAAAACCCTCAGCCTTTCCTCATAAGACCTTCCCTCCATACCAGGCAACATCCTGGTAAATCTCCTCTGCACCCTTTCCAATGCTTCCACATCCTTCCTATAATGCGGTGACCAGAACTGTATGCAATACTCCAAGTGCGGCCGCACCAGAGTTTTGTACAGCTGCAACATGACCTCATGGCTCCGAAACTCAATCCCTCTACCAATAAAACCTAACATACTGTACGCCTTCTTAACAACGCTATCAACCTGGGTGGCAACTTTCAGTGATCTATGCACATGGACACCGAGATCTTTCTGCTCATCCACACTACCAAGAATCTTACCATTAGCCCAGTACTCTGTATTCCTGTTACTCCTTCCAAAGTGAATCACCTCACACTTTTCCGCATTAAACTCCATTTGCCACCTTTCAGCCCAGCTCTGCAGCTTATCTATGTCCCTCTGTAACCTACAACATCCTTCCGCACTATCCACAACTCCACCGACTTTGGTGTCATCCGCAAATTTACTAACCCATCCTTCTACGCCCTCATCCAGGTCATTTATAAAAATGACAAACAGCAGTGGCCCCAAAACAGATCCTTGAGGTACACCACTAGTAACTGAACTCCAGGATGAACATTTCCCATTAACCACCACCCTCTGTCTTCTTACAGCTAGCCAATTTCTGATGGCCTTTGGAGCAGCACCTTTCAGTTTCCAGATTGTTCATGCCACAACAGAAGCAAAAGAATCTACTTGATTAATACCCTTGAAATCAATGTTGCCTTCAGCAGAACCTTATCCCACATTCATTAACTGCAGTTGAGAATATGCTTCACCTTGGGTGATGCAGGACAATACCGAGCGGAAATTTTTCCCAAAGATTTTGCTGGTTGCATTAGTCAGAAATTACAGGTCAGTTTACATCATTTCTTACAATTTGTTTTTGTTCTCCCCTATTCAAGTAGCCCTATGTTACATCACTTACTGCCCACAATGGGGCAATCTGAAAAGGACCACAAATGCATATTTGCTCTGGATTTTGATTCAGACTTTCCATTTCTCTCAGTGACAAAGTGATTATCGTTCAGATTTCCACTTATTGCTTAGATATTCTGAGCACTAGATTGTCATCGGAGCAACGCAAATCGATTTACACGTTGGTACCATATGGATCCTCGATGTAGCTGTGGGAACTTCCTGGGAAATTGAGAATCCCAGTTCACGATTTCTCTGTGCCTGGAACCCCCTGCAAGCATCCATTTAGGTTGGAGAACTTGGAAGGTTCCATTTTAGTTGAGCTAATAGTTACTCAGAAAAAGTTACAGGCTCAAAAACCTACCGTAACTCCTGGGTAGCTGGTAAGCTGAACAGCCTCATCCCCCTACACACTGACAATCACCAAACTACATCTACTCCACCCCTTTACACATTCCCCACCTGATAGACAACAACCATTTCCCCTAACCAGACACGCCCAAAGCAAGAACATTCCAATTCCAATCCCTGCAGCACCTGAATCCTCTCCATCCAACTGCCCCCCCCAACCCAGTTCCACTCCTGCAACTTGCCCCAGCCAGGACCTGATACCCTCCCTTCATGTTACTTGATGTGGTGGCTCCCAATTTACCCTAAGCATGACATTACTTACCAGGCACTCTAACTCCTTACCCAACCCCTTAAGGGTTACAGTGAGCGAGCGCGTAAGTGGAGCTGAGTCCACGAAAAAGATCAGCCATGATCTTATTGAATGGCGGAGCAGGCTCGAGGGGCCAGATGGCCTACTCCTGCTCCTATTTCTTATGTTTTTATGTTCAACTGCACCCCCAACCCCACACTTACAAATATGCGTGGCTGGCTGTACTGCTGGGATTTAAGGCACAGAATATTGCATGTGTTGCTGTGAGAAAGGGGGCACGTTTTAACAATTCCCCCCCAAACCCCTCCAGAGTATCGCACACTAAAAGGCAAGAGTTTGATTCCAGGTATGCTTCTGAGAAAGCTAGGATTAGACCTGCTGGTCAGAAATCTGGAGCTTAGTCCTCGAAGGGAAAGAAGTAAAAACAAAGTGGCAATCTGACTTCGATTCCCACACTTCGGAATGTCTGGGCCACGGTGTAACTGATACTGTGACCTCAGTGAGCTGCTTTCTTTAACACATAGTTTGTGGGTCTTTAACCCATTCAGTAAAGGGAAGGTCCCTATAGTCTTACCACACCATAGGGCTGCTCCTTCATTAGACAGAGAGAGGGAGAGACAGACTGGTTTACTTTGAGGGTCACCACACCACAGGCGAGGCGAGAGGTTGAGGAGGAGGGTCTTTCATGAGAACATCAACCGGTGTAGGAATTGAAGCCGTGCTTTGGGTGTGACTCTGCATCACACACCAGCCATCCAGTCAACTCAGCTAACCAATCCCATTCAGTAACATAAACAGAAATAAAGCAGTTTTCTGGAGATTACCTGGAGATCTGCACCATGTGTGAGCTGCACGGTTTGTCTTAAGTGCGACAGGGATCAGCTGCCAGTTCTTACACTTGTATACTGCAAAACGAAAACAAGGAGTCAGGCCGTGGATCTGAGAGGAGGAAAAATAGAGTAATAGCCACATAGAATCCTGACAACAATAACTTCTTAGATAACATAGTGTGGAGCTGCAGGAACACAGCAGACCAAGGGTCCTGACCCTAAACGTCAGCTTTCCTGCTCCTCTGATGCTTCCTGGCCTGCTTTGTTCCTCCAGCTCCACACTGTGTTATCTCTGACTCCAGCATCGACGGTTCTTACTATCTCTTAACAATAACTTCTTGTTGTCTTTAAAATGTCTTTGATAATTTAAGGGCTAATGGCAGGCTTATTTTGTTTCTAATTATGGACATAGCAAAGCTTGAAATGACTGAATCAATGGGGAATTTTCGTAGATTACTTAATTCTTAACTACAAATGTAGAGAAGCTCATTTAAATGTGTCACCACGTACAATGTCCGCACTGTCGAATACCACTTCAACGCCAGAATTTAACAGTGAGTGGAAATGGATTTCTGTTTGGAGGACTTGTCAATTATCTTTAGATCTTCATTAATAAAGATCCATTTTTATCAATAGAATGTTATTTATCATTGGTTCTATTCAACCTTAGTCTATTCATCATATGTGAACGTACGAAGGAAGAGCAGAAGTAGGCCATTCAGCCCATCAGGCCTGATCCATCATTCAATAAGATCTGATTGTAACCTCAAATCTGCATCCCAAGCCTCCCTTGATACCTATTTACCCCTGTGTTTAACAAGGCCATAATATGCTCTACCTTAAAAATAGTTAAAGACACTGCTTCCGCCACCTTTTCAAGATGGGAGTTCCAAAGCTTCACAACCCTCTCTGAGAGAAAATAAAAATGGGGGCAGTGCATCTGTTTTAAATGGCAACCCCTGATTGCCAATCCAGTGGGCTGATTTGTCCAGGATGGTGTCAAGCTTGAATATTGTTGGAGCTGTGTTCATCCAGGCAAGGGTAGAGAATCTATCACAGTTCTGAAGCTTTGCAAAGTCAGGAGGTGAAATACTTGCTATAAGATTCCTAGCCTCCAACCTGTTCTTGTAGTTGCGATATTCATATGGCCATTCTATTAAGTTTCTGGTTAATGGTAACCCTCAAGATATCGATAGTGGAGGACAGAGTGATGGTAACGTCATTGAATGTCAAGGAAGCTGAAGATGGTTGGACCTAGAACACATGCCTTTGGGCCTATGACAGATGTTAAGCTAACTGGCCTATTGTATGGTGCTTTCTGTCTTCCTTATCTTTGAATAAAATAGTTTAATTTGCTATCTTCCAATGTAATGGAATCCTCCCTGAACCAAAGGGGTTTTCAAAACTAAAAATTAATGCATCAACTATCTCACTAGCCAATTCTTTTGTGGCCCTAGGATAAACTCCATTAGGTCCAAGCACTTATCAGCCTAAAACTCCAACAATTTATTCTGTAGCTGTCTGATAACTTTCCGGAGTTCCTCCATTCCTGATGTATCACTCTTATGGAATCTTACTGGTATCATCTACAGTGAAGACCATTGCAAAGGACTTGGTTAATTTGACTAACATCTCTTTATTTTCCATTATTAATATTTCAAACTCATTTTCTACAGGCCCACTATGTTACAATTTTAACACTTTAAAAAAAAATTTAATTATATTCATTATATTTAAATACTATTTATATTCTTAAGACAAATTCGATCTGTTTTGACATTTCTAATTAGCTTTATTATTATACTCTAATTATTCACCTTGCAGATGAACTAGATGGCATGTTTAGCTGTTTAAAAAACTGAGCTTTTACTTGCAGATTAAGATATTCAAGAAGTCAACAGCTGCAGTTCAAGCCTGAAAAGTTGATCATGTGATGACACTGCATTCCTAGATGAGATACTTTACCATTATCAGAAAATACAAGGGATTCTCCAACCTCATTGTCATTCGGGCTACATCCATTGTCAGAGTAGTAAGTAATGATAATACCATTCAGTTTACCATCTTCATTAAATCCCACCTGGAAAACAATGGAAATATTCTCCTTTGTTAAAAGCACCATTTGTTATGACAGATTCACAGCTGCCTGAATGGATTACATGGCTACTTAGCAAGATGTGCCCAGTTATGGACCTCAACAGTGCATCAGCTAATTAATGATTACATTTTTTAGATCATTATACAAACAGATCTGGAAAAAATATAAAAATTTTGTTAAATGGGCCACAAAACCACAGATTCAGTGTTTATAAGCAATGGAGAGAATGAACAAAACATTGGCATATATAGCTGAAGATATGACTAATAGTAGAAAGAAATTACTTTGAACTTGAGGACCCAACTTGAAGACATGCTATATAAGGGCAACATGGTGGCTCAGTGGTTAGCACTGTTGCCTCACAGTGCCTTAGGTGACTGCCTGTGTGGAGTTTGCATGTTCTCCCAGTGTCTGCACGGGTTTCTGTCAGGTGCTCCGGTTTCCTCCCACAGTCCAAAGATGTGCAGGTAAGGTGGACTGGCCATGCTAAATTGCCACGTAGTGTCCAGGGATGTGCAGGCTAGGTGGATTAGCCATGGGAAATGTGGGGTTACAGGGGTTTAGCTAGGATGCTCTTTGGAGTGTTGGTGCAGACTCAACGGGCTGAATGACCTCCATCACATTGTAACGATTCTATGAAATTTTAGATCCAGTACTATGCAATGAAAAAGGGCTAGTCAACAATTTTGTTGCAAAAGAACGTTTAAGGACGAGTGACCACAATTTGACCTGTAAGTCTTTCATCAGTATTTGAAAACAGTATTTAATATAGGATGAGACAAAACATATTTGAATGATAATAATCTGATTGGGCACAGTGAGCATGGATCTGCAAATGGGAAATCATATTTGATGAGGAAACACGCAGTGTAAAGCAGGAGGAACACAGCAGGCTAGGCAGCATCAGAGGAGTAGAAATTTCTGAAGAAGGGTCCCGATCCGAAACGTTAACTTTCCCATTCCTCCGATGCTGCCTGGCCTGCTGTGTTCCTCCAGCTCCACACTGTGTTATTTCTGACTCCAGCATTGGCAGTTCTTACTATCTCTTAATCATATTTGATAAACTTGTTGGAGTTTTTTTGAACATATGACTCACAAAGCTGTTAAAGACAAGCCGATAGATGTAGAATATTTCTATTTTCAGAAGCCACTGATAAAGTCCCCCACAGAAGGTTGTTTGGTAACATTAAAACACATGGGATCAGAGGTAATGTACTGGCACAGAATAAGAATCACTAACAGGCAGAAAACAGACAGTACAAATAAAAGCTGTGACTAGTGGGGTATCACAAGGATCAAAAGTTGGTCCCAGCTGCTCACAATATTTATCAATAATTTAGAGGTGGGGATCAAATGTAATATTTCCAAACTTGCAGATGATACATGGCTTAGTGAGACTGTGTAGAATGACTTCAGGAGGATTTGGACAGGCTTCATGATTAGGCAAGAACATGGCTGATGGAATATGTGAAACAATGTGAGGTTATCCACTTTGGTAACAGAAACAAATCTGCAGAGTATTTCTTAAATATTAAGAGGTTAGAAATTGAGATGTGCAAAGGGACATGGTGTCCTTGTCAATAAGTCACTGAAGGCTAATATGCAGGTGCAGCAAGCTATTAGGAATGCTAATGAAGTGTTAAAAACAGAAATTACTGGAAAAACACAACATGTCTGGCAGCAACTGTGGAGAGAAAGCACAGTGAACGCTTCAGGTTTAGTGACCCATCTTCAGAACATCTCCCCACAAATTTTCTCAGCAATTTCTGATTTCCAATATCCACAGTTCTTCTTTTCTAAAATAAAATGTTCGCCTTTATTGCAACAAGATTTAAGTATAGGAGTAGAGAACACTTGCTTCTTTTGTTTGGGAACTTGATAAGATCAGACCTGGAGTACTGTGTGCGGTTTGTTTCCTTACCTCAGGAAAGATATTATTGCCATAGACGGAGTGCAACAAAGGTATACTACACTTGTTCCCGGGATGGAGGGACTTTTTAATGAAAAGATATTGGGCAAACTGGTTCTGTATTCCCTAGAATTTTGAAGAATGGGAGGTGATCTCATTGAAACTTACAAAATGTTTAAAAGAAGAGACAGGGTAAATGCATGTAAGATGTTACCCCTGGTCGAAGTGTCTAGAAACAGCACAATTTAAAAATAAGGGGGATGCCACTGAGATCTGAGAGAAGGAGTCTTTTTTTCCCACTCAGAGGATTGTGAACATTAGGGTTGTGGACAGTGGGTTGTGGAAGCTCAGTCTTTGAGTATATTTAAGGTAATTACCAAAGGCATACGAGGTTATGGGGATAGAGTGGATAAAAGGCATTGAAGTGTCAAATCAGCCAGGATCATATTAAATTGCAAAGCAGGGTTGATGGGCTGAATAGCTGATTCCAGTTCCTATGTGACATATACTTTTAGTGATGCTGCATTTGGAGGCATAGATAACTAATGCAAAAAGAAACCTGATAAAAGAAGAATGAGAGGGGAACTCAATATTCTTTAATATTATTACCAAGATTGAGATTTTGAATTTCTGAAAGGTAGTCCCATCCTGCATATAGAACAGTACAGCACAGTACAGGCCCTTAGGCCCACGATGTTGTGCCGAACATTTACCCTAATCCTAAGGTCTATCTAACCTCCACCCCTACCTTATACTATCATCTATATGCCTATCTAATAGGCGCTTAAATGCCCCTAATGAGGCCAACTCCACTACCCTCTCCGGCAATGCATTCCACGCCCCTACCACTCTCTGAGTAAAGAACCTACCTCTGACGTCTCCCCCTATATCTACCTCCACTCACTTTAAAACTATGCCCCCTATTAATAGCTACCTCCACCCTAGGAAAAAAGTCTCTGGCTGTCCACTCTATCTATACCTCTGATCATTTTGCATACCTCTATCAAGTCATCTCTCATCCTTCATCGTTCTAAAAAGAAAAGCCCTAGCTCTCTCAACCTTTCCTCGTAAGACCTTCCTTCCATTCCAGACAACATCCTGGTAAATCTCCTCTGCACCTTTTCCAACGCTTCCACATCTTTGCTGTAATGAGGCGACCAGAACTGGACACAATACTCCAGATGTGGCCGAACCAGGCTTTTGTATAGCTGGAGCATAACTTCACAGCTCTTGAACTCAATCCCTCTATTAATGAAAGCTAACACACCATACGCCTTCTTAACACCTCTATCCACCTGGGTGGCAGCTTTAGGGAACTGTGGACATGAACCCCTAGATCCCTCTGCTCCTCCACACTGCCAAGAATCTTTCCGTTAGCCCTAACAATTCAAAGGTTAAGATTATGGGGTGGTATTTAAAGGTAGGAATGCCAAAGAGAATAGAAAAATTAGGCCATTAGAAGCCAGCATTCTGTAAGAACGTAACATTCAGGGTACACTCCATTCCAATGGGATGTTACATTTGGCTGTTTGAAAACATATTAGTTGCATGCAGTTCAATCTACAAATTAGGGTGGAGCTAATTGCAAAGTTTTCAATAGGCCCCTCAATACAATTCAAAGAGAAGTTCAAAGATTATAGGCAATTTGCAAACTCTGCAGGTACTTGTGTGTGTGTGTGTGAGAGAGAGAGAGAGTGAGAGAGAGAGTGAAACAGAGACAGAGAAAGACAGAAGCAGACTCCATGTTATAGACTTGCTTTTAGTTTGTGCTATTGGGAAGGCAATTGAATTACATGAGTACTATGAATGAGACTCAATGAGAAGTGAAGAACTGTTAGATATCTCTGTGCTGGTAAATGCCTACCAACTCCTAAAACTTCAAATTTGTAAGTGCTGGAGTCAGGATTTCTGGAAAGTGTGGGACAAAAAGCCATATGCCAATTATGCAACTGAGCAAGAGCTAAGGATTAAAACAAATGACAGTTCCAACTCGGTGAAGCTGTAAGACTAGAGGGCAGTTTTGGGAGTCCATCCCTCTATCCAGGAAGGGTGGGGGCGGTTTTGATCAGCCAGAAAGGGAACAGCTGTTGAGGTGGCCCATGATGAATTGGATCTTGAGAAGGGGTTTCAAGGTTAGACTGGCAAAGTTCCATCAACCTTCGCATCTGCTTTTATCCTTGTACATCTACTCCAGTGCCTTTATATCTATATTACAACATGGTGCCCTAAGTGTACTTTAAGTAAGGTCGAACATAGGCTAGTTACAATCTGAGCACAACTTTTCTAAGAGTTCTGAAGAAGGGCCTTTGGACCCAAAATGTTAACTCTATTTCTCTCTCCGCTGATGCTGCCTGATCTGCTCAGCTTTTCCAGATTTTTGTTTTTGTTACAAACTGTCTCCTTTTCAACTCTAGAAATAAACTGATAAGCTTGGTTTACATTTGTTATAGCTTTTGTTGTAATTTGTGCTCTCATTTCCTCTGCACCTCCACTCCATTTATAGTCTTACTTTCCACGCTGTGAGTGACTTCTCTTCTCTTAACTAAACTGCAATGTTGTTATTTGTCTCAACTATTTCATTGGAGAAATACATATCTGAAAAAGTTAAACATGATTCCTTCCAACACTGATGTAACACTTCAACACATACTTTTTTTGAAAAAATCATTCACGGGTGGGCATTGCTGGCTAGGCCAGCATTTATTGCCTATCCTTAATTCTTAGGCATCAACCATATTGCTGTGGGTATGGAGTTACATGTAGGCCAGACAAGTAAGGATGGCAGATTTCCTTCCCTAAAGAATATTAGTGAACCAGGTAGATTTTTCCTAACAATGAACAATGTTTCATGGTCATTATTCAACTCTTAATTCCAAATTTATTTGCTTATGGAATTCAAATTCCATCATCTGCCATGGCAGGATTCGAACCCAGGTCCCCCGAACATTACCTCATTCTCTGGATTGATAGTCTACGACTAGGCCATCGCCTCCTCTTTTCATCAGCTGTTTGTACACATCATTAGGTTAATCTGGTTGATGGCAAAGTTGGTACAAGGAAAAGCTTTCTATGATTTTTGAACTCTGACCTTGTATTTGAAAATGTAACTATGACGTTTGCCAACTGCTTTCATGTTGGTACTCAGGTCCATTATGCATCGAACAGGTCTGTAAGGAACAATATGATCACATTAAAAAAACACGAAAAAGGAAGTCTGAATAATGAAAACTAACACTTCAGTATACCTTAGAGACGAACTGGTTAGCTCACTTGGCTGGATCAATAGTATGAGGCAGCCATCAATAACCAAAAGCACAGCTACAATTTCTGTTTACGTGACAAAAATATTTCCCCTATTCCCAAAGCTAATAAAAGGCAACTTTGGACTAATTATCCAATTCCACTATCCATTCCTTGCTAGCTGTTTTGCATTGGTAATGAATCACTGATCTCATCAGTAAAGAAAACATCACTTCCCGCGATCACCTCTTTTTCTTATGGCTTTACTCAAATGATTCTATTACCTTCATGCTATGTTATTGTTAAAATCTACACTTCTATGTTCTTTACTAGATATTTCCCAATTGGTCATGTTTATCAGAAATTATTTCAACAAAAAGCTGGGTTCATCTTTCATTAAGGCCAATTACCAGCCAAGTTACATTTTCCTGAGGGTTTTTTAAAAAACTTGTTCATGGAATGTGCTCATGGCTGGCTAGGCTAGCCTTTTGTGGTCATATCAAATTGCCCTGGAGGAGATGCTGATGATCTGCTTTCTCAAACTGCAGCAGGCCTTCAGGCGTAGGTACACCGATAGTGCTGTGAGGAAAGGGGCTCCAGAATTTTGACCCAGTGACAGTGAACAACTGGCAATATAGCCACATGGTTGGATAGTATATGGAGGGGCAATAGCCGGGATTAAGTGGCAATATAAACTCCAAGTCCAGACGGTGTTCAGCCTGGAAAGAAACTTGTAGGCAGAGGTGTTCCCATGCACTTGCTGCCCTTCCTTTACTAGGTGGTAAAGGTCATGGGTTTGTGAGGTGCTTTCGGAGGAGTTTGGTGAAATTCAAACACGTTCTCAGAAACAAAAACAGAAGTTGCTGGAAAAGCTCAGCAGGATGAGCATCATCAGCGAAGAAAAAATTTGAAAAATTACAAATTTTTCTAAACTTCATCTTTGCAGTCCTGCCGAGCTTTTCCAGCAACTTCTGTTTTTGGTCCTGATTTACAGCATCCGCAGTTCTTTCGGTTTTTACATGTTCTCAGAACATTAGCCTGGGGTTCTGGATTACTAATCTACTGCCATTACCACGATGTCACCCATCTTCCCTAGATGTTGAACATTAGTTATCATTAGGCGGTGACTGTAAGCTTGATTGAAACGGAGGGTTACAGTTTTAATAGAGATCAGAAATATAAAGTGAGGATGGAATTTCAGACAGTGGGGTAGAAGCAGCTGAATATTTCAATGTTTGGGCAAAAGGAAGGGTGATCACATAAAAATGAGTGGAGCAAAGGTGTGAGGGGGTGTATAAGATTAGAAGAGGTTGTCAAGATAGAATGAAGTAAAGCTAATGCAACATTTGAAGAGAAAGATGATGAGTTTAAAAAAGTTGGTATTCAGTAAGACAAAGCAGATTACCTGATCAAGAACAAAAAGGAAGGAGAAGCACTATGCAAGACAAAATACAGTCACCAACACTTTGACAAGCTGCAGTTTGTCAAGGATAGAGTTTGAGATAACAGAAAGGCAGCTATCTTTGAGGCACACAAATCCATGATAGCTTTGCTCTTTTTGTCAAATGTGGGTGTGATAGGTAAAGGAGATTAAGAAAACAATGAATGGCACCGAAAAGGAACATTGGGTGTCCATGCCCTCCAGGATCATCTTGGTGCTGTCAGTAATTTAGTCTTTGGAGGGTGAGGCACTCTTGTTATCAATATGATGCAACTCATTTTTAATCTGGTCTTATAACAGTCCTTTAAATTAAAGTACAATACATCAAGTTCAAAAAATTGTAAGGCAACATCCTTGCACAGTTGTGAAGTTTATCATTATTACCTCATTGGTTACAAAGAGTTCATCACACAATTGCTTGTCAGAGCAGGAGCACTACTCCGTGCCTCATGAGGAAAGTCATTAAAGTTAATGACAGTCCTGTCCCAGACTTGGTTCCCTGTTCCACTGCCCTTCCAAAACCTCCTCTCAACCACTGTCCCGGCTGCCAAAGTATCCTGCACTCTCTACCAACCAGCTGTCTCTTCCTGTTGGATTTGGGTAATCGACAGATAGGAGGAAGGTGGTGAATTGCTTACCCTCCATGTAGAAAAGCCTGTCCACAGCACTAATCCACTGACAAACTTTACCAAGCTCTGTGTGGGATTCCTGCCCCTCAGAATCCCACCCTTGTGCATTGCTGGCCAATGTGATTGGCCTGAGAATGGGCAAGCTAGTGGGCACCTTACTCACACACTATACTTCGGGGAAGTGGACTAGCCACCTGTCATTATCTTACGTGATCTTCTACCAAAACCTGCCCAATGGGGACTGAAAAAGCCAGCTCCAAGTCTATGCAGACGAAGCTTTTGACTTGGTTTTTGAAATGTGCCAAATAAATGCAAATTGTGCTGTTCTAGGTGCTCGACAAACTATCAGTTGAGCCACATGTAATATTTAAGATGTTTGAGAATTGAGTTTCTGTAATTAGACTGATAATTATTCCACTGGTGGACTGTGAAGGAAGGATCTGATGCTTTGTTTATCTTTTCTTTCTGGAGGTTGTGAAGACAGTAGAAAGCTAACTATATCCAATTTGATTGGATATTGTTGGGACTTCAGCCAATTCTGCCCTCAGAAGATCATGGCACAATGAGGAAGGTACAAAGAGACAAAGACCCACCCTATGACAATGCTGCCAAAATTACCATCTTGGCTTTGTTGCCTCCACAAAGTGATTCTCAAGACCAATTTATTATCCAATTAATTTCACTCTTACCTTGCAAATGTTTATTTTTAAAGCACATATCTTTGAAAGTTACTATTAATTCTTGTACCCTTACCCTTTCAAGCAACACAGATCACAATAACTTGCTGCAATAAAAATATCTGATCTCCCCTCTGGTTCTTTTGCCCTCTGCTGGCCAAACCATATGTTTGTAGAAACAATTTGTCCTCACTTAGTAGATGAAAACCCCAATCTATGTTTGAATGCACCTATTAATGTTCTGCTTATCCTTTTTCTTTGGATTAAGTTGATCGATCATTGCTTTTAATACAATTTGTTCATTTATGCACACAAACATGGAATAAAGAGAATGGGATGTGGTGTTTCTGATACTGCCAAGTTTTAAATGACAACATTCAGAAAAAGTCAACAGTGCACAGTATTCAGCTGAATCCTACCTGCGAAGTACTGATGCAGCCACTGCTGCACCACAAGCTATTAAATTAGCCCGTGTAGCTTTACCACCATAAGCTCCTCCCAAACGCTTAGCTGAGATGTTAATACTGTGAAAACAAAAACATTTTTACATGATATTAAACTGCATCATTATTCTGAGATAATACGGGAGTAAAAGGTAACTACTAACATACAAAGTTGTACATTAAGAGGTTAAAATTGCAAATGCTTGATATCTGATATAACTATCACAAAACATACAACAAATACACAGCAGTCCATCAATTCTGTGAAGACACAAGACAGGCTAATGTTTCAGGTTGGCGTCCTTTGCCACAGCCTAATAAATATCAAAATGTTCACTTGTCTCTTATTCTCACAAACTGCAAAACTGCTATGTATGTTAGTCTGGTAAGATAGTCTGGTAACTGAGATGGTCAGGTCACAATCTCTTTATGCTATGTATGTTCACCACTTTCTACTGATGTTACAACACTGCCTCTTGCTGGCGTAGTTAACTGTTGATTAGCAGTAATATTTTTCCTTCAGTCATACATACAAAGTCACATTGCCACAAACCTGAGCAAAGCTCCAATTCAATTCACACATTTCTATACGTTCTTGTTTGAGGTTAATGAAAATCAAGCAAGGTTCAAGTATTCTCACACCTTACAGTACGATTTTGGTGAAATACACCTGTCATTGGTGATTAACTAAATAAATCAAGCTTCAAGATCAAGATCAATGCCCAACTGTCTACTTGTGCTCCTGTTTCATAAGTTTTGTAAGCATGGTCATGTACAAGTATGCAAATCCTTATGTATGTAAGCATGTATGTATGCTTCTATGTATGTACAAATGTTCATATGCAACATTCTCTTAACTGCTGTGAATTTCAGGTCATTCAGAGGTTGTGGTCGGTTATCACAGCCTTTGGCGGGGGGAGTAAGTTACTTGTGAAAGAAATACAAAAGTAAATAAAAATGACGGCTTATTGTTATAGGTATTTTTGGTGGGCATATCTACCATTTTCATTAGAATGTCTTTATGGTAATAGAAGTGTGGATTTAAGACAAAGATAGTCTGGTAACTGAGATGGTCAGGTCACAATCTCTTTATTTACTTTCTGCTTAGAAGTGTTTTTGTCAGTTTAACGTATGACGTGGAACATTAAGTACAGTATACCACACCTAACTCAGTTTTACGTTGAAATTTCCCTTCTGCAATTTCAATAATACTATTAATGCAGTTTGTAAAGTTATCGCAGCGAGTTAGTCACAATTGTGATAAGAAAGAAAAGTCTATTTACTCCATGGCAGGTATTCCAATGGCACCGGCAATGGCTTGTTGTGCTAAGTCCAACCATTGGCTAGCTGCCTGAACATCCAAACCATCTTCAGTAGGCACACACCGACAAATCTATCCAAAAAAACAAACAGTACAGTCAAAATATAATCATTGACAGTTATTTCTAACTAAATCTCTGAGATTATACAATCTTAATTTAAGAAATAGCTATCAGGTCAGTTATTTCAGTTAGCTGGATGACTGGTTTGAGGTGTAGAGTGACACCAACAGCCTGGGTTCAATTCCTGCACCAGATGAGGTTATCATGAAGGTGCCAACTTCTCAACCTTTCATCTCTCTCTAATGAGAGAGTAGCCGTTTAGGACTATGTTGACTTTACCTTTATCATAGGAACCGTATGAATTGCCCCAAAATGTTCCATTAGGGCATAAAGTACACAAAAGAATTATTTGATTCCACTTGTTTCATTCCTTATGCTGTGCCCAAATTTGGAACTGTACCCTTTGTTTTCACCCTCATTCTTTTCTGGTTTAAATTTCATCTACCACTTGTCCTTTCATTCTATTGAGCTGTCTTTATCTTTCTGAAGTTTAAAACTATCATCCTCACAGTTCACAATGATACCAGCAGATTTTGAAATGGTGCCATGTACACGAATGTCTAGAATATTAATACACATCAAGATGAACAGAAATCCTAACACTGACGCTGAAAAACCTCACTTTTGCATGCATACCTTCTTCCCCACTGAAAAATAACTGTTTACTACCGGTCTCTGCAATCACTCAGTCAATTCCAAAACCATGCTGCTACTACATCTTTTATTCACTGGACTCTCACGCTGTCCACATGGCAGTTGTACATCACTTTTTCAGATGCCTTTTGGAAGTCCATGCACACCACATCAGTTGTATTGCACTCATTTACTTTCCCTATTACTTTATCAAAATGCCAAGTTACTTAAACATGATTTTTTCTATTACATTATCAAAATGCCAAGTTACTTAAACATGATTTTCCTTTAACAAATCCTTACTAGTTTTACCCAATTAACCCTCATTTGCCCAAGTTATTTAATTCTGTCCTGAATTATTTGTAAATCCATCTTGTAGATGATGGGTAGAACAAATGAACCTTGCTTTGCAAAGCCACCAAGGAAATAGAATATCCCTTTACTTAATGACACGAAGCACAAAAATAATCCCATCTACAGATGCACATAAATCATCTAATTGGCAAAACAATTATTTGAAAAATGATTAAATAACAAACAAAACTATGGTGATAACCCCTTCATAAGCACAGTATTTGCTAACCAAAAGTTTTCTTTCTACAGTTTGCCTATAAATTATTTTCAATGACCTTCAGTATAATGGATTACCATGGGATATGAATTCTCAGTTGCCAGAAAACTGTAATTGTGCAAGTTTACAAAGTTGCTGATGGAAAGTATGCAAGGATCTGTCCCACCAGCACTTTACACCATGGAAAAGGTGACCAGGGAGCACACCAGAGGTGTTGGAGATGTGTGTCTCATTACAATTTCTTATTGTAGGAAATTTGTTTGGTATATCAGTGCCAAAGACAAAATGTCTTAAGACACACGTAAATTATGATATTACTAAATTCGTTAGATTTTGTTTGCTCTCAAAACCGTACCTTTTTAAAAAAAATTGTCTTCACCACTTGCTAATAGCTAATTTTACCTCCATATTCAATAGAATTAATGAGGTTGAATTTTAACATATGGACCTGCTCACAAATGGAGAAGCCAGCAGAAGTTATGAACCCAAAAGATCATGGAGTGGGCTTTTCTTTTCTGTGGCAGTTCCTGTTCCTGGCTTTCCTGACCAATTGGAATGGGTGCACATGATCACAACTGACATCTGACTTGTCAAGCCTCAGCATTGAAAGGGATCTCATGAAGGGTAGAATAAAACTGAAAATGGACTGCAGGACAGCCATTGTGGTATTGTCATTCAAGAACTGAGCAAGGGACAAACCAGGAAACTACAGACCAGTCAATCCAAAATCAGTGGTGGGCATAAAACTAGAAGCAATTCTGAGGGAAAAAAAAAAATCTGCATTTGGAAAGGCAGGGATTAGTCATGGACAGTCAGCATGGTTTTGTTGAGGGGGAATCATGTCTGACCAACTTGATTGAATTTTTCAAGACAAGGCTTTTGATGTAGTCTACTTGGACTTCACCAAGCTTTTTAATAAGGCCCCAAACAGGAAACATAGCAAAAAAGAACTATGGGAGTCAAGGAAATTTGGAAAATTGGATTCACAATGGCTGAGTGACAGGAAGTAGTTAGTTGAGACGTTTTATTGACTGGACATCTGTGTCCAAGGGGTCCCACAGGGGTCATTGTTGAGGGCCCTTGCTGTTTGTGGTTTATAGCAATGATTTAGACTTGAATGTAGAAAGATTGATCAGCAAGGTCGCAAATGATACAAAAATTGGTGGGGTGGTAAACAGTGAGTAGGGTAGCCTTAGCTTACCAGTGGATATAATGGGCAGGCAAACAAGGTGAGGGAATACATGATGAAAGGTAGGAACCTGAGAGGCATCGAGGATCAGAGGGACCTTGGTGCATACGTACACCAGTTCTTTAATGTATCAGAACAGATGGATAAAGAATGCATATGGTATACTTGCCTTTATTAGTTGAAGCACTGAGTTTAAGAGCAGGGAGGCTATACAAGAACTGTATAAAACATTGATTAGGCTACAGCTGGAATACTGTATGGGATTCTGGAATCCACATTATTGATTTGATTCGATTTGATTTATTATTGTCACATGTATCAAGATACATTGAAAAATATTGTTTTGTGTGCTAACGAGACAAATCATACCTTACGCAAGTACATCAGGGTAATAGAACAGAATGTAGAATATAGTGCTACAGCTACGGAGAAGATGTAGAGAAAGATCAGCTCCAATAAATAAAAGATCCATCCAGAAGTCTGATAACAGCAAGGAAGAAGCTGTCCTTGAATCTATTGGTAAGTGTTTTCAAACGTCTGTATTTTCTGCCCAATGGAAGAGGGTGGAAGAGGATATAACCAGGATGGGAGGGTTCTTTGATTATGTTGGCTGCTTTTCTGAGGCAGCTGGAAGTGTAAATGGAGTCAGTGGATGGAAGGCTAGCTTTTGTGATGAACTGGCCTGTGTTCAAAACACTCTGTATTTTCTTGCAGTCTTGGGAACAGCAGTTTCCATACCAAGTTGTGATGTGTCCAGATGGGACGCTTTCTATGGTGCGTACATAAAAATTGGCAAAAGTCATTGTGGACATGCTGAATTGCCTAAGCCTTCTGATGAACTAGAGGTGTAGGTGTGCTTTCATGACTGTAGTGACAATGTGGATGGAGCAGGACAGATTGTTGGCGATACTTACTCCTAGGAACTTGACACTCTTGACGATCTCCACCTCAGCACCATTGATACAGACAAGGGCGTGTCCTCCACCCTGCTTCGTGAAGTCGATGACCAGCTCCTTTGTTTTGCTGACATTGAGGGAGAGAGTTGTCTTTACACCATGCTACCAAGCTTTCTCTCTTTCTCTTTCCAGTACTCTGTCTCGTCATTGTTTGAGATCCAAACCACTATGTCACCAGCAAATTTAGCATGAGTGGTGAGTGGATTTTGAAGGGAAGTAATAGCACTGAAGAAGGTGCAGAAGAGATTTAATAGTCTGGTGCCTGAGCTGCAGAGTTTCAGTTATGAAGAAAGATTGGACAGAATGGGGTTGTTTTCCATACAGCAGGGGAGATTGAGAGGGGTGTGACTGAGATGTATAAAATTATGAGGGGCATAGGCAGGGTAGACAGGAGGAAACATCTCCCCTTGATGGAGGGATGAGTGACTGGGGGATAGATTTACGATAAGGGGGCAGAACATTTAGGAGATATGAGGAAAAACATTTCACCCATAGGGCAATTTTTACTGTCATTAAATATTTAAACAATTATTTCTCTGTCAATAAATAGCTTTTTTCTTTACCTGTGTTTCCATGTGGAAATGGTACTGTTCACCTGCTCTAACTTCCCCTTCAATTTTGCAAGGAGATTCGGAAATAGCACCTGCAGGATCTCCAACAAGTAACCCCTTTCCAGGTGATGGATAAAAGGATTTTTTCTCAATAGCTTCATCAAGGGTCACTATTGGTGGTTTTTGATCTTGGTAGGTGACCTTCACTACTTCCACCACCTCCAGAGCACGATGCTGTGAATCTTAATACGAAAATGGATATGATTAACACATATGTATCGTGGTAGCTGGTGAAGCAGTACTGCAGATCGACTCCTTTTTTATGTAGTTAAAAAATATTCTCAAACTTCGAATTCATACTTTGAATAGCAACGTTAAAATAATTATTGTAGCTATGTTTTTATTAACTTCTTGAGTGAGATATAACTTTGAAATACAATTATGGTCTGCTATCAATCATTGATGTTGAAAAAGGAAATCAAGAAGTGATAATGTTTATCATTTGAAAAATTCATCCAACTGAGGTCTCCTTTTGACCATTCAATGCATTACAGATTCATATAACATCGTTAAAATAGTGATGTCCCAAAATACTTCTGATGTGAAGCAGTAAATGATGAAAGATTTAAGGATTTGTTGGACAGACTGGTTTTGAGGAAACATTTGAAAACCTGGAAATGTACAGAAGTTGAGGGAAAGCGTTCTAGAGAATAAAACTTACACAGCTAAAAGCTTTTTCTGAACTTCATTGGTTGTGAATTATCCTCTCGGAAAGCTCCAGTTCAGAACCACAATAGGATTTAGTTAAGATTGCACAAGCTTTCTGGGGGCGGCAAGGTGGCTCAGTGGTTAGCACTACTGCCTCACAGCACCAGAGACCCAGGTTCAATTCCACCCTCGAGCGACTGTCTGTGTGGAGTTTGCACACTCTCCCCATGTCTGCATGGTTTTCGTCCGGGTGCTCTGGTTTCCTCCCACAGTCCAAAGATGTGCAGGCTAGGTGACTTGGCCATGCTAAATTGCCCATAGTGTTCAGGGATGTGTAGATGAGGGGATGGGTCTGAAGGTTGGCGTGGACATGTTGGGCCGAAGGGCCTGTTTCCACACTGTAGGGATTCTACAAAAGCTCACTGATCAAATTCTTCAGGCTCATTTTCAGTCTTTAGAAAGAGGTTGACAAATGTATTTTGGCATTTTAAACAGTTCGCAGTGATTCCCTGCTGTATACAGCACAGAATAATTTGCCTTTGAAAGAAGCCTGGTTGAGATCAGTCAGAGTAGTAACAACAGAGTGAATCTGGAGGTCAACAGCAGCAGCATGGAGCTGAATCTAGGGTCGGAGCTCTGGAGCTGACGTCATGACTCAAAAAGTGACACAGGCTTGGCTGCTCAGGAATCAGAGACTGAGTGAGTAGTGCCTAGAGAGAGATAACGTACTTCCTTTTTGTAGGTGCAGTCTGGTGAGAATTGAGAGTGGGAGTGAGAGGCCTGAGTTTGGAGACTAGTGGATTAGGTTGTGTAATCAGTTTCTAGATTATTGTCTGTAGCTGATAAGGCTGACTTAGTTGATAAGGTTCACAATGGCAGAAGAACTCAGTCCCATGGAATGCTCTTCCTGCAATATGTGGGAAATGAGGGACATTCCCAGTGTTCTTTCTGGCTGCGTAGGCTGGAACTATGTTCAGCTGCAGCTCCTGATTTGGTGCATGGAGTGGCTGAAGCTGCAAATGGACTCACTGTGGAGCATCTGAGGCTAAGAATGTGGTTGATAACACATTCAGTGAGCTGGTCACCCACCAGTGAGGGCTACACAGACTGAGAAGAGTTGGGTGACCATCAGGAAGATGAGTAAGCGTGGGCAGGCTGTACAGGAGTACCCTGCGATCATTCCCGTCTCAAACAGGTTCACCGTTTTGGATACTGTTGGGAGTAAGCTGGGGAGGGATGGCCTCTCAGGGGAAAGCAGCAGCAGCACTGAGACTGGCTCTATTGAACAGGAGGGAGGATTGAAGTGTAAGTGAGCAGTTGTCATAGTCAGGGGCACAGACAGGAGTTACTGTGGCTGTTAGCAAGACTTCAGAGTGGTGCGTTGCCTCTCTGGTACCAGGCTCTGAGCTGGCAGAGGATATTCTCAAGAGGGAGGGTGAGCAGCTAGATACTGTGGTCCATATTGGTACCAATGACATAGGCAGAAACAGAGAAGAAATCCTGCAAAGAAAGTTCAGGGAGTTAGGTAGGAAGCTGAAAAGCAAGAAGATTAGGTTGCAGTCTTGGGATTATTTCCTTTGCCATCTGCCATTGAGGCTAGGAACAGGAAGACAGAACAATTAAGCATGTTGCTAAGGGCTGGTGTAGGAGGGAGGGCTTCTGGTGTGTGGATCATTGAGATATATTCTGGGGCAGGTGGGACCCCTGCACAAGAAGGACAGGTTGTACCTAAACTGGAGGGGGAACCAATATTCTGGCAGGAAGGTTTGCTAATGTCACTTGGGAGGATTTGAACTAGTGTGTAAGGGGAGTGGGACCGAGGAGTCTGCAACAAAGACCACTAAGACTAAGAGGAAGAACAGGCGAGGACTGGCGGTCTGAGGTGTATTTGTTTTAATGTGAGGAGTATGACAGGTAAGGCAGATGAACTTAGAACTTGGATTATTACATATAACTAAGATGTAGCTATTACAGAGACTTGGTTGAGAGAGGGACATGACTGGCAGCTTAACGTTCCGTGATTTAGATGTTTCAGGCAAGATAAGAGGGAGATGTTAAAGAGGCGGGGGAGTTGTGTAACTGGTAAGGGAGAATATCATGGTTGTACTGAGGGAGGACACCTTGGAGGGCTCATCCAGCAAGACCTTTTGGATAGAGGTCAGGAATAGGCAGGGTGCAATCACTTTGATGGGATTGCACTACAGGCCTCCCAACAGCCAATGGGAGATAGAGGAACAGATGTGTGGATAGATTATGGAAAAATATAAAAACAACAGGGTTGTTGTGGTGTGTGATTTTAACTTTCCTTGTATTAACTGGGACTTGCTTAGTGCCTGGGGCTTGCATGGGGATGAACTTGTCAGGTGGCTAAGACAGTTTTTTGAAATGCTAATAGTCCAACTAAGGAAGGGGCCATACTAGACCTGGTATTGGGGACTCAGCCAGCCAGGTGATCAAAATTTCAGTGAGGGTGTATTTTGGGAACAGTGACTATATTTCTCTAAGTTTTAGGTTACTTGTGGATAAGGATAAAAGTATTCCTCAGGTGAAAGTACTAAATTAAGAGAAGTCTAACTATGACAATCTTTAGACAGGAACTGGGGAATGTAGATTGGAGGCAGCTATTTGAGGGTGATGCCACATTTGGCAGATGGGAATCTTTTACAGGCCAGTTGATTTGAGTTCAGAAACAGCATGTTCTTATGAAAATGAACGATAAGGATGGCAAGACTCAGGAACCGTGGATGACAGGAGAAATCGAGAGCTTAGTCAAAAAGAAAAAGGAGGAAACTGAAGACAGAAAGACCCCTTGAAGAATACAACGATAACAGGAAAGAACTCAAATGAGGAATTAAGAGGACTAAAAAGGGCTATGAAATGTCTTTACCCAACAGGATTAAAGAAATCCCAAAGCTTTCTTTAGATATATATAAGGAGCAAGAGGGTAGCTAGGGAACGTGTAAGTCCACGTAAGGACAAAGGAAGGAATTTATGTGTGGAGCCAGAGGTAGTGGGTGAGGTCCTTAATGAATACTTTCCATCGGTATTCACAAAGGAAAAGGACATGGTGGATGGTGAGTCTCGGGAGAGCATGTTGAAACTATTGGACATGTCAAAAAAAACAGAAAGTGTTGGGTGTTTTAAAAAGCATTGAGTTAGGCCCCAGGACATGAAAGGATCTATCCCAGAAGACTGAGGGAGGCAGGTGAGGAAGTTTCTGGGGCCTTGTACAAAGCCCTTGTATAGTCACAGGAGAGTTCCTGGAGGAATGGGGAATAGCCAACATTGTTTCTTTGTTTGAGAAGGGCAACAGGGGTAATCCGGGAAATTACAGGCCTGTCAGCCTTACTTCAGTTGTAGGCAAAATTGCTGGAGAACATTCGGAGGTATATGAACTTACTCACATTTAGAAAAATATGGACTTATTAGTGAGAGGCAGCATAGCTTTGTCTGGTTTTTTTGAGGAAATGACGCAGATGATGGATAAAGGTTATTTGGTAGATGTTGTCCACATGGACTTTAGCAAGGCCTTTGACAAGGTTCCACGTGGCAGGGTGATACAAAAGGTGAAGTCACATGGGATTAGCGGTGAGCTCCTAAGGTGAACTGGCTTGGTCACGGAAGGAAGAGAGCGGTGTTGGAAAAGTGTTTTTCTGACTGGAGATCTGTGACCAGTTGTGTTCCACTGTTGTTCCCCAGTGTTATAATATATGGAAGTGATTTGGAAGAGAATGTAGGTGGTTTGATTAGTAAGTTTGCGGATGATATAAAATTGGGGGAGCTGCAGATAGTGAGAAGGATTGCCAGAGGTTACAGCAGGATATAGACAGGCTTGACAAATGGGCAGAAAAATGGTGGTCCGAGTTTATCCAGAAAAGTCAGAATGATGCATTTTGGGAGATCTCACACAGGAGGGAAATATACAGTAAGTGGCAGAACCCTTAGCAGCACTAACATACAGAGGAATTTCGGTATACAGGTCCACAGTTCCCTGAAAATGGCAACACAATGGATAAGGCAGTCAAGGAGGCATATGGCATGCTCGACTTCATCACTCAGGGCATAAAGTATGAAAATTGCCAAGTCAAGTCGCAGCTCTACAGAACTTTAGTTAGACCACGTTGGAATATTGTGTACAGTTTTGGTTGCCACACTGCCAGAAGGATGTGGAGACTTTGGAGAGGGCACAGAAAAGGTTTACCAAGATGTTGTCTGGTTTGAAGGGCATTAGCTATGGGACAGATTGAACAAACTCGGGTCATTTTCACTTGAATAGCACAGGTTAAGGGTGACCTGATAGAAGTTTACAAAATTGTGAGAGGCATGGATTGAATGGATAGTCAATGTCTTTTTCCCAAGGTGAAAATGTCAATTATGAGGGGACATAGGTTTAAGATAAAAGGGGGCCAAGTTTAAAGGAGACATAAGAGGCAATTTATTTACAAATAGGTAGTAAGTGCCTGGAATATGCTGCCAGAGGAGGTGGTGGAGGCAGATATAATAGCATTGTTTAAGAGGCATCTTGACAGATATATGAATAGGCAGGGAACAGATGGATACAGATCACATAGAGACAAAAGGTTTTCAGTTTAGAAAGGCATCATCAGTCAGCATAGTCTTGGTGGGCCAAAGGGCCATTCCTGTGCACTACTGTTGTTTGTTCTCTTTGGTTTTTGTCTTTAAGTAGAATCAATTGTACCTCATTTCTCCTCTCCACAAACAGACAGACGGACAATAAGCAGGGCTGGTTGCACACCTGACTCATATGAAGAAGCTGTCAGCACCAATCTTAAGTGATCTACGATCACATTAACAGGTATGCGTAGTATTCCGCACCTCCTACTCTCCCAAAGCCCATTTTAAGACACTATTCATCTTCTGTGATCATAATTTAATCAAGTTTATTTTATATACTTGCAAAAAAAACAGAAAGTGAGTTTCAGTAATGGTGACCATGACAATCCTATATTGTTGTAAAATCCCATCTGGCTCATTAATGTTCTTTACAGAGTAAACTGCCATCCTCACTGGGTCTGGCCTACACATGACTCCAGATCCACAACAATGAGATTTGGCTCTTAACTGCCTTCTGAAATTTTCTTTATTCATTTACGGGATGAGGGTATCACTGGCTAGGCAGCATTTATTGCCTATCCCTAATTGTTCAGAGGGCAGTTAAGAGTCAACCACATTGCTCAGGGTCTAGAGTCACAAGTAAGCCAGGCCAGGTAAGGATGGCAGTTTCCTTCCAAAAAGGACATTAGTGAACCAGATGGGTTTTCCCTCTGACAATTGGCAATGGATTCATGGTCATCGTTAGATTCTTAATTCCAGATATTTATTGAACTCAAATTCCACCATCTGCTATGGCGGGATTCAAACCTGGCTCCCCAGAATGTTATCTGAGTCAACAGTCCAACGATAATACCACGAGGCCATCGCCTCCCCTGGCCTAGAGAGCCACTCAAATCAAGGTCAATTTGTGATGGGCAAAAAATACCCACTTGCCATGAAAGGAAATTGCATTACCTGCAAGACACAGTGCGATTGGCTGTCCAGCATACAGAACAGGGCCACTACTCAAAATCTCTTCAACCATATAGGGTGGAGGCATAAATGTATTAGATCCAGGTATATCGCTTGCTTGAAGCACCTATAAAAGTGAGAGAAGAAATTAATTAATTCAAAGACTTTTGGTGATCTTTTGCTGATGAGGGTAATGCCTGTGAATGGAATATTTTTCCTGCCCTTTACTGCAATCATAGATTCTCATGCTTGATTTTACATCAGTCACTGAAAGTCAAAGTGCCCTCTAAATTGCCCAGCACTCTCATTATTATGACATAAATCTTATGCCATGCATTGACTTCGACTTTGAAGGGGATGGATCGAGAGAGACTTTCAGTTCCTTGTTGCTATCAAATCAATTTCTTTTTAGTTCTCTGTCTTACTGCTCAAAAACCGTTGCCTGAAAATATAGTTCCTTTACGAATTCTGGTATCTGATGTCATTATTTTCAAACCGGATAATCTACAGGCAATCTTCATCACAAAACGTAGCTTCCAAAAAGCAGATTTGAGTTTCATAATAATATTAATTTCAGCCCAGTCTGGTCCTTGTTTACTGATGGTTTCATGACCTTGGCTAAACTTGGTCAGGTGATCACAGCAGCCATTTTAGGTCAGTGTCTGTTATTTTTACAAGTCATTTAAGTCACAAAAAGACTTGGTTATGACAATCAGATAATGAATGCTGAACATTGATAGTCGATGTTTACCACTATCTGATGGATGTGTTCGTAAGTTTCCTGCTAGTTCAGCTCTTTTTATGGGATAAACATTGGAAACAGCAAGGGGATTTTTAGACATTGGATTTACTCCAGTGCCCCTAACAGTAGAAGGAGAGCTGCTGTAGTGTAGTGACAAGTTTTCCCCTTAACTGGAAGAGAAATATCTTGCCAAACTCTGGAACTTTCTACACAGAATTTAAGTTAAGCGTCTTAAATGTTGTTGGATATCTTAAACAGTTCCCTGTAACATCAAGTAAAATTTGGATTCTCTATCAGAAACAAGGTGATACTTCATTTTGCCAGAACTATCAATGTTGTAATTGATTTCCCATCAAATGTCAATAACATTTTCAGTTCTTTAATGAACTTTTGTATAATTTAGAAAATATATTGTCTTATATAATCTTCTACATCCAAACTCAGGAACGCATCTCCACACAATCATCACTTAAGAGGTACATTATTGAAAACACTTATAACATCTTAAACAAAAAAACAAGAGAACTGTGGATTCTGGAAAATAGAAACAGAAACAGAAGTTGCTGAAAAAACACAGCAGGTCTGGCAGTATCTGTGGAGAGATATCAGAGTTAATGTTTCAATCCAGTGACCTTTCTTCAGAGCAAGAAAAGTCACTGGACCCAAAATGTTAACTCTGATTTCTCTCCACTTATAACATCCTGGTCACTACAATCTAGCTGAAATTTGGTAAAACGACTATCTAAAGGACAATAATATTCTCAGTTGGTCCCTTTCCTTCAGGGAGAGTTAGACCTTTACACCCATTCCTGAATGTGCATGAATGTCTTGCTCAAGCTTAAATGATAGGGATCATATGGGGAGTAGGTTTGATCTAAAATAGTCCTACACAGGGTTTAGGATGAGAATCCAATTTGGGGAGGGGGCATGGTGGGATGACAATTTTAAAATCAATGCATTGCCAGACTGGAAACCAATGTAGGTCAGTCAACACAAGGAAGATGAAAAAATGAGATTTTGCACAAAACAGGCGGCAAAGGTTTGGATGAGCACAAGTTGATGTGGGGCAGAAGATGAAAGGCCAGCTAGGGGTGTACTAAAACAGTCAGGTCTTGATTTAACATAGGGATGACTGAAGGTTTTAGCTGCAGATGAGTGGAGGCAAAAGTACTGATGGGCAATGTTACTCTGGTTGGTTACATGTTGCAGCCATATGAAAGAAATGTCTCTAAGTTCACTCTGAGCAAGTTTGAGGTTTCAATGAAAGTCTTTGTCATTGACAAAAACCAAGAGTTGATTTTTTGTAAATGTTTTGGGTTGTTTCTTACAAATTATCAATGCAAAGTTTAATGAAGAAAGGTGAAGAATACAAAGTTTTTGATAACCACCCCATCATTCTCCATGGCAATAGTAAGGTGGTAGCACAAATTGCAATAGTGACATCAAGCAACACTTGCTCGTTGATGTTCAATTCAGGCTCTCACAGAACCACACTGTTTCGGACTTCATCGCAGCTTTCATCTTGATATGAACTGAATGCTATGAAAGAACTGCAGTATTTGTCCAAACATTGTACCAAGAAACTCTACAGTTGCCTAAATTTCCACTTGACAACTCTTTAGACTGGAGTGGTTGAAAAACTGGTTTGGGCACAGAAAACTGAAGTTATTTAGCATCACAGAACCAATCTCTGCTGTGATGAACATCAGAAAAAAAAATGGAGCCTTCTGTTTAAGCCCCAGGTCATCATTGTAGAGATTTATCAGAGTGACATCTTTGGTCCAATCATCTTCATGTACTTTAACAACTGAATTCCTTCTAATTTAAGGTCAAGAGTGGGGTTGGTTCCTCTACAATGCTCAGTTCCAACTACAAAATTTTCAAATGTACAGCAGACTATTCCAATCTTATCAGTTAACATCTGCCTCGCAAAAGTGCTACGCAATGACAACCTCTGATAAGAAAATGTGCATCGCTCCCTGACCATCCAATAACAATATCAGTACCAAAGAGTATACCAACAACAGTCAGAGATCACTGATGATCAGAAATTGAAATGGATTAGCCAGAGTGCACTAGGACACAGTCTGGGTACTCTGCAAAGTGTGGCTCACTTTCTGGCACCAGAAAGTCTCTTCATCATCTTCAATGCTGAACTTGAAAGTCCAAAAGAATATGCAACATTCATCTGGATTTAGTAATATCTGAAGCCCACCAATATTCAGGGCACTAATGTAAAGTAGACTGGCAGCCTAGCCAGTGGGCCACCAGAAAAAGAGAGCTGCAATATGTGTCATTTATAGGAAGAACTGCAACGGTTCACAATTTGACAGTTCCCTCCCAGTGCAACCTGAACCTCCAAAAAGAGCAATGGCAGCCACAAGTTTCCTTCCATATCTCACAAGTTCCTAATTTGGATTTATATCATCATTCCTCCAAAGTCCCTGGTTGAAATTCCACACCTAGCATGGCTGTGAGTGCATCAGCAGCTCAGGCATTGTATTAGCTTCAGGAGACGGTTGACCATCATCTCACAGGGCAACCAGGAGTGGGCAATAAATCCAACCTTGCCAGTTTCACTCGCTCCCTGAGAACAACTTGGAAAAAGAAACTTCTTTACTTGCACAGGAATCTTAGTTTTATAGATTTGATAAAGGTTTTAAAAACTCCTAAAATATCATGATCAAAGCAACAAAACCTCAGAGGTGCTGGCTGCCCTTCTGTGTCAATTCAGCAATTGTTGCTTGATTTCAGGTTTACAGCATTTGCAGTTTTCCTTATTTTTTGTTTTAAAAAGTTAACACATTATATTTAAGCTGACTGTACTGGAGATGAGTTAAACGATGTGCTTCACAGATAGCTTTAATTACTTACTGCAACAGCACCAGGCACATTCATAGCTGCCGTACTGTCAATGTGGTTGATGGTTGCATTTCCTTCTGTGCTCAGCACAAACATTGCAAATAACTCATTTGGAAGAGGCAGCAAGTCGTTGATAAACTCAGCTTCACCAGAAGTCTGGATGCAAAACAAAGGAAATACATAATTAAAATTGCTCCAGTATTCAAAGGACTTGGACAATTTACCAGATTGATCTGGCAATGAACACAAAAGAAATCCCAGGATCTGCGTTATTTGTCATTTTTTATTTAAAAAATCCTGAAGTAGTCTGTCCAAATGCAGCAAAACCTGAATAATCCCCAGGCTTGAGCTGGTAAGTGGCAAGCAACATATACACCACACAAGGTCTAGATTTCCAACAAGAGAGAATCCAAGCATCAGCCTTTGGCATTCAATGGAATTACCATTGTTGAATTATCCATTATCAAAATCCTTGGGACTACCATTGACCAGAAACTCTAATGGGCTCACCACATAAACAGAGTAGCTACACGAGCAGGTCAGAGGTTAGGAATACTGCAGTGAGTAGCTTACCTCCTGATTCCCCAAAGCCTCTCCACCATCTGCAAGGCACAGTCTTGCCCGGATGGATGCACCTCCAAACACACTCAATAAGCTTGACACCATCCAGGACAAAGCCACTTGATTGTCACTACATCCACAAATATCCACTTCCTCCACCACTGATCACACTCTCGCTGCCAGGGCGGCACGGTGGCTCAGTGGTTAGCATTGCTGCCTCATAGCATCAGGGACCTGGGTTCGATTCCAACCTCAGGCAGCTGTCTGTGTGGAGTTTACACGTTCTCCCCATGTCTGTGTGGGTTTCCTCTGGGTGCTCTGGTTTCCTCCCACAGTCCAAAGATGTGCAGGCTAGGTGGATTGCCCATGCTAAATTACCCCATAGGTTCAGGGATGCGTAGCTTAGGTGACTTATGGGAGAATGGGTCCGGGTGGGACGCTCTGTGCGTCAGTATGCACTTGTTGGGCCTGTTTCCACACTGAAGTGATTCTATGATATACAGAAGCAGCACAGTGTACCATTTACAAGTTGCGCTGCAGAAATTTGCTAAGGTTCCTTAGACAGCTCTTTTCACACTTACAATAGATAATATGGGAACACCACCATCTGAAAGTTCCCCTCCAAGCCACTCATCATTCTGTATAATTAACATATCACTATTCCTTCAATGTTGCTGGGTCAAGATGCTGGAACTCCATTCCTAACATCATTGTGGCGTATACATTACAAAAGACAGCTCACCGCCACCTTCTCAAGGGAAACTGGGAATGGACACTAAACAATGGCCAGCAAACCCCACATCCTGTGAATTAATATAAAAAATACAAAAACTTTTCTAAAGACTTGCTTATGAGGCAGCAGGACAGGCTGATGCTACAGGAGTTAGAGTCCTCCAACAGCTTAAAGGGGTAAGAAGCATGAAGTACAAGAATGTGCTTCCTCCAGATATTATTGATGTTCTTGCCAGTGATAACTAATTTTTGCATTTTAAGGTAATTGATGTGTTATGCTTCCACTAGCAAGCCAGGGTATCCCATGTATTCTAACACCTAAGGTAAGATAATAATAGAGATTACTGCATACAAAATTATGGAGTAAAACATGTTAGTAAAATAGTGGGATGAAATTTCTGCAACACATCCTACCTCAGGTTTGTACTCTAATATACAACACAAAAACAGAGGTTGCTTGAAAAGCTCCGCAGGTCTGGCAGCATCTGTGAAGAGAAATCAGAGTTAATGTTTCGGGTCCAGTGACCCTTCCTCAGAACTGATGGTAGCTAGGAAAATGTCAGTTTATATGCAGAAGATAGGGTGGGGGGAGGGGTTAAGGCGGGGATAGAGCCCAAAGAGAGGAGAACAACATTGGACAGACAGGAATAGATAATAACTTTGCTAGGAGGGTGAATAGCTGTTAATGGAGACTGTTAGCAGCTAACAATAGATAGTGTGTAATGGCAGGCTATGTGGTAACAAGGCCTGGTGTGTGGGGTAGGGGGCTAGGACATGGGAGAGTTCAGGCCCTAAAATTATTGAACTCAATATTGAGTCTGAAGGGCTGCAGGGTCCCCAAGCGGAAAATGTGGTGTTGTTTTTCCAGCTTGTACTGAGCTTCTTTGGAACACTGCAGCAAGCCTGAGACAGAGATGTTGGCCAGGGAACAGGGTGGTGTATTAAAGTGGCAGGCAATTGGAAGCTCAGAGTCTTTTTTGCGAGCAGAACGTAGCTGTTCCACAAAGGTGTCACCCAGTCTATGCTTTGTTTCCCCAATGTAGAGGAGACCACATTGTGAGCAGTGAATGCATAGACTAGATTCTGGGAAGCACAGGTAAAGTGCTACTTCACCTGGAAGGTATGTTTGGGCTTTTGGATACTGAAGAGGGAGCACGTAAATGGGCAGGTGTTACACTTATAGCGGTTGCACAGGAAAGTGCCATGGGGCATGGGGCTTGGGAGTTGGGGCGGAGGGGCGTGTGGTGGTTGTTGGGAGTGTAAGAGGAGTGGACCAGGATGTCCCAGAGGAAGCAGTGGATGAGGATCAGGTAAGGATAAGGGGAACCCTGTCACTGTTGCAGGAGGGAAGAGAGGGGGGTGAGGGGGGAAGTGCGGGTGATGGATCCAACCCAGTTCGACAAGGACATTCCCCAGCACTGATATCGATAGGACCATCACCCCCTGTCATCCTTCCCACAACAGCGATAGGGTTCCCTCTGACCTTACCTACCATCCCACCAGTATCTACATCCTGAAGATCATCAGACGCCATTTCCGCCACTTCCAGCTAGACGCCACCACCAGACACATATTCCCCTCCCCTCCCTTGTCCGCCTTCTGCAGGGACCGTTCCCTCCGGGACACCCTGGTCCACTCTTCCTTCACCTCCAACACACCCCAACAGCCCCACAGCACCTTCGCCTGAAGCTGACATGGGTGTAACACCTGCTCATTTACCTCCTCCCTCCTCCGTATCCAAGGGGCCCAAGCATACCTTGCAGGTGATGCAGCACTTCACACAATCTAGTCTACTGCATTCGCTGCACACAATGTGGTCTCCTCTACATTGGGGAAATGAAGTGTAGACTGGGTGACCGCTTCGCAGAACATCTATGTTCTGCCCGCAAAAAAGACCCTGAGCTTCCAGTTGTCTGCCACTTTAATGCACCACCCTGTTCTCTGGCCAACATCTCTGTCTCTGGCTTGCTGCAGTGTTCCAGCAAAGTTCAACGCAAGCTGGAGGAACAACACCTCATTTTCCGCTTGGGGACCCTACAATCCTTCGAACTCAATATCGAGTTGAATAATTTTTGGGCTTGAACTCTTCCATGTCTTAGCCCCCTACCCGACACACCGGGCTTTGTTATCACAGTCTGCCATTACACACTACCTATTGTTGGTCGCTAATAGTGCCCATTAACAACTATTCACCCTCCTAGCAAGGTTGTTATTTATTCTTTTGTCTGTCCAACTGCTCTTCTCTCTCTGTGTGCTCCAACCCCAACTGTCCCCTATCTTCTGCATATAAACTAACATCTTCCTAGCTGCCATCAGTTCTAAGGAAGGGTCACCAGACCCAAAAGTTAATTCTGATTTCTCTTCACAGGTGCTGCCAGACCTGCTTTGCTTTTCCAGGAACTTCCCTTTTTATTTCTGATTTATAGCATCTGCAGTACTTTTGGTTTTTATACTCTAATATGACAAAATATAGCTGCCTAATTAGAGCAAACACAAGCAAAGCTGAACCTTTGTCAATTTAATGTATTGGAGTAATTTTGGCATAAATTAAATCAAAGGTTGCAGAACCCTCAGTTACTGAACTTTTTTTTTAAAAGTAAATGCTGTGTGATTATATCCGATATATAATGGATCCATATGTGTGCACCTAATTCACAAACAGGCACCAATCTTTGGATCTGCTTCTGAACATGTTCCAAGCTATTTAAAAAGAATTCTCCACATTAAACTATGGCGGCTTGGGAAAATAATCTTAGTTGAATGATGCCATAGCTTTAAAAAAGGCAAGAAATTCCAAATGAGCTACTTTGGAAGGTCCTTACAATTTGAATTCTTTGCAGAGCATAGCAACATGTCCATCCCTGATGCACTCTCTGGTATTTCTTTTCAACAAAACAGAAAGCTCAAAGTGACTTTTTGTTCTGCCCCCTTAAAGCCCCAGGATTGCATAATAATTCAATGCTGCATTGTCTCATCCTAAAATCATAGTGATAATAAAGTATTCTGCTTATCTTGACAATTGTTGTAACACAGTCAGATGCATTTTATTTCAAAAACCAATCAGTACCATTGGCACTTTGCAAGAATTTGCCACTTGTTTCAAGTAGAACAGCAGCAGTGTGGTTATGCAACATTTGGGACCTTTACACATGTAGTTGACAGAAACTGTCACTTTTTTTTAAAAAAATGGATAATAGAATTACAATGCAATTTCTTGGGAGTTTGAAAATCACCAGAAGCAAGATCAGGATATTTTATTCAGATCACTTGGTTTACTCCAGTGTACAAATCAATCTATTTTTATTGGACAATAAATCTACATGCCAATGTACAACATGCATACATCAAACAGAGAACAAATTGAAATTCTACCTGCTTGTGGGCATTTAATTTTGGCATAGGCTTTGTCAAAAGATATTCCTCTGGTCTGCTGCTGAACGTTTGCTTTCCTGTGGATATAGGACGCTCCAAAGTACATATGGCACTCCGATTGCAAGGTGAAACTACACCTTCACTCAACAGAGACAGGAAAAACTGAAGAAAGTTTAAAGTGGATTTATTAGTCGGTAAACGAAAATAAGAAGTTCACAATGCCGTAACACTTTTAGATTCTTAGGAATAAAATTGGTCTATGCCAGCAGGACTAAAGGTCACAGAATTAATTAGATTCTCTTTAGAGACTCCTCTTTCTTAGTCTCTCTGTTACTTTTGTTTAGTTTGCAAATAAAAATTCTTCACAATATTTTCCAAGTCAATGAAAGATCAGCTCTGGCTTGCTATGCACTCATTTCTTGTGGCTATTGCAGACCAATTTCACCAATATAACATTTGAAATTAAGATGCTAAAAACTGACCAGTAATCTGGAATAAATAAGAACATAATCAACAAACCATTGGGAAGTGGACACCATAGTGGATGACTAAATTGGCCTTTCACCCCTACAACTTGAGTTGAATACCATTCAACCTGAACCTGGATAGATGAGTGGAGGAGATTTATCCACTACTGAAAGAAACATTTTACCAGGTCTTATTGCTTACCATTTCGGGATGAAATTCATCTTAAAATGCTTTTAAGAGTTGCCCACCTTATAGAAAAGTCCAAGTGCCAATGATTTCCTGTATTCTGCACTTGCAAGCAGTGGATTATCTTCATCAGGAATTATCTCCTTGTCAAGTGTTGTCAGGGCACCTGCAACCATCACTTTTAATAATTAATGCCCAGACAAAATGTGTTCCCAATGTTAAAAGACTTGTATTCTGCCTTGATCTTAAATGCTATAAATTAATAATACCGTATCAAAACATAAACTAGAAATCGAGAAACCATACTAATCAACTTCTTGTCATCTAAAGTGAGAGAAGGAGAAGGAAAAGAGGATGAAGCCAAAACAGGCGAAGAGGAGACGTCAGCATACAGAATGAGGTCAATCTCAGCCTTGAATAGACATAGTGACTCAGCTTCATCAGCCCTCTGTGGTAAATAATTCTCACAACTCTCTGACAGAATAAATTCTTCCTCATCTCTGACTTAAATGAGCAATCCCTTATTCTGAGATCATAAAATCACTACAGCTCAGATAGAGGCCATTTGGCCCATTGAGATTGCACTGAACCTCTGAAGAGCTGTGGTCTGACTAGTGCTTTGTACATTTTAATAAAATCTTCTTTCTTTCATACTCCATTTTCATTGAAATAAACACTGACATTTCTCATGCCTTCTCTACCACCTGCTGAATTTGGATGCTAGCTTTTGTGATTCGTGCACGAGGATTACTAATCCCTTTGCTCCGTGGCTTTCTGCAGTCCTTCTCTGTTTAACTATTATTCAATTCCTCAATTCTTCTTGCCAAAGTATATAATTCACATTTTCTCACATTACACTCCATTTGCCAAATTTTGCCATTCCCTCAACCTGCCTATATCCCTGTATAGACTTCTGGTGTCAGCCTCACCATGTACCATCCCACCTATTTTTGTGTCATCTGTAAATTCAGATAGTACATTCACTTTCACAAATATTGCAAATAATTGTGCCCATTGCAGTGATCCCTGTGGCACTCCAATAATGCTCCCTTTTGACGCAACTCTCTGTCTTTTATTAGTTATAAAATCCTCTACCCATGCTTATATAAATTACCCATAGGGATGTGTAGATTAGGTGGGTTATAGGGGGATGAGTCTGGGTGGGATGCTCTGAGGTTCGGTGTGGACTTGTTGGGCCGAAGGGCCTGTTTCCACACTGTAGGGATTCTATTCTGTTCTATTCTATATACAACGCCAAACAGGTAACCTAACTTGTGGTACCTTTTCAAATTCCTCTGAAAATCCAAATATATTACATCTACTGTTTTCCCTTTATCAATCTGCTTGTTACTTCCTCAAATAATTGTAATAAAGTTGTCAGGCACAAATCTCCCTACATGAAGCCATTCTAACTCTGCTTGATTATATTATGTATTTCTAAATAGTCTTACATACTTTATAATCAATTAACATTTTCCCAGTAACAGGTGTTAAGTGGCTTCTTGTTACCTGATTTCTTTTTTATCTCACTTCCTTTGCAAATAAAGGTGTTACATTGGCAGGAACTTTTCTGGTCATGAACTATCTCGGTATCAAACATCTGGGCATGGGTATAAAGAGATAACAAGGTGTAGAGCTGTATGAACACAGCAGGCCAAGCAGCATCAGAGCAGCAGGAAAGCTGACATTTTGGGTCGAGACCCTTCTTCAGAAATTGGGGAGCGGAAGAAGATTCTGAAATAAATAGGGAGAGAGGGGGAGGCGGATAGAAGTTGGATAAAGGAGAAGATAGGTGGAGAGGAGACAGACAGGTCAAAGAGGCAGGGGTGGAGCCAGTAAAGGTGAGTGTAGGTGGGGAGTTAGGGAGGGGATAGGTCAGTCCAGACAAGCTTCAAAATCTCCCCTCCCCCGACCGCATCCCAACACCAGCTTGGCCCCGCCTCGCTAACCTGTCCTTCCTCCCACCTATCCCCTCCTCCCACCTCAAGCCCCACCCCCAACTCCTACCTACTAGCCTCATCCCGCCCCCTTGACCTGTCCGTCCTCCCTGGACTGACCTATCCCCCCCCCAACTCCCCACCTACACTCACCTTTACTGGCTCCACCCCCGCCTCTTTCACCTGTCTGTCTCCTCTCCACCTATCTCCTCCTTTATCCATCTTCTATCCGCCTCCCCCTCTCTCCCTATTTATTTCAGAATCCTATTCCCCTCCCCCATTTCTGAAGAAGGGTCTAGACCCGAAACGTCAGCTTTCCTGCTCCTCTGATGCTGCTTGGCCTGCTGTGTTCATCCAGCTCTACACCTTGTTATCTCAGATTCTCCAGCATCTGCAGTTCCTACTATCTCTGGGCATGGGTATAAATTTGTTGTAATTTTTACTAGAAGATTATGAAAACATGATTTCCCGCACAAATCAAAAAGGAAACCCATTGTTTTTCCAGTGTTTTTGAGGTGTAAGTCAATGTCTACCCAAATATAATATGATGCATCTTTGGTTTCTCAATTGCTGTACACATCATAGCTAACTCATGCACTTACCTTGCAAAGTTACATTGGAAGTAATGTCTTTGCCTTGGAGGTATTTTTCTGTGGCAAGGGCATGAACAAATGTTCTATTGATTCCAGTGTACACCATTGAGATAGATTCTACCAACTGTTTACTATCCAAAGCTTTTAACCGAACCCGGAACCCAGCACTCACATACGTATGGGCATTCTATAGAGGAGAAATTGGGAGACAGTAACAGGAATGTAACAAGTTGCTTACGTAGAAAGAGTATAAACCATCAGAGATGCGCACAGCTGATAAAACAGACCATCTCCTTTCAACAAAAGCAATACCCAGATAATGTACCTAAACCAGGGTGGCTGGAAGTTAACTTAATTTACAAAGCAAAAGAAAAAGATCCTCAATCCACTGCTTCTTGAGGCTAACACAAATCCATTACATCAGTCAATATGAACAAATGACACTGTTTTTAGAAGGATTGTAAGGTTAAGGCGAAGTTTTGGGTTTATAGGGCTGAATCGTATACTTTTTTGGCCGGGTGCAAGTTACCTTGAGCTTTTTGGAGGTGTTTTTACTACATTGCCCAGTGTGTTTTCTCACTGTATCTTACCAAATGCACCTCATTAACTTCCTATCCCACTCTATCGTACCCATGATGTCCAATTCCAGTCCCATCTGACCACCTGCCCTTCCCAGAACAACCCACGACTCAGCAGACATACGCTGAAAGATGGGTGTCCCTTGCTTCTGTGCCATCTTAGAGAGGCATCTGTGCACTTAGACAAATACTGGCAATCTGGCACCTCACCAGCAATGTCGTAGCACAGCAGCCACAAAGCTATGTGGACAACAGCACATAGCTGACATGAATGATATTCCATCGCATGTATCACTCCATTCACTGCAGTTTATCTGGCCCTAGGTACATCCTGGATGGACACACTCTCCGAGTCCCTGTAACTGTTTCCCCAACGTCCAGTGGTCACATCTTGTCATTGTCCAACAGGGGAACATCACATGCAGGACAGCATTCCAGCAAGACCAAACATGAGTTTTTATTGACAGCTAGGGAAAGGGACCACAAAGAAAACTAATACAGGCTGCAGTTGACACCTATGATATGAACCAAATGCTGGCATCTTGTCCTTAACAGTCCATGATGATCTTCTGCACCCAGTTCACATCTACAGAAACCGAGCGTCAACGAGATCCTGTCTGTCTTGTAGGTACAAATGCAGCTGAACTCTATCCTTCACAAGGAAAGCTCGCTTTGTCCCAAGGTCCTCCTCCTTCACCATGGAGATGATATGGAGGTGCTGGTGTTGGATTGAGATGGACAAAATCAGAAGCCGCACGACACCCGGTTATAGTCCAATAGGTTTATTTGAAATCACAAGCTTTCAGAGCGTAACACCTTCATCAGGTGAAGTGAGAGAGGAGCACACAGAACACAGAATTTATGGGCAGAGAGAGATCAAGGGCAGAGAAATCAAAAGATCATACAAATGGTGTGAGTGGAATGTCAAATAATAAGTCTCTGCAGGTGATCCGAAGTGTCAGATGATGTGAGTAAAGTATCATCAGCTGAATAACAAGCAAAGGGATAACCTATAATTCAATTAAATAAGGCAGAGAAATAATTACAAAAAATTAAAAATAAGGTGATGCTGGAGATAAATGACTGGAATAACATGATAGCTATAAGAGCCACATGCCGAGGGTCTAACCAATGTAATAAGTAATTCAAAACTGTACAACCTAATTAAGGTAGAGAGATAATTACAATTTATCAAGGTGATGGTGTCAAAACAGGACAGTAAGGAAGACTTTACAGATACGGAACACTGTGGCGGGGTCACATGTAGCGCGACATGAACCCAAGATCACAGTTGAGGCCGTCCTCATGGGTACGGAACTCTGTTATCAGTCTCTGCTCGGTGATTCTGTGTTGTTCTTAAAGGCTGCCTTGGAGGACTCTTACCCGAAGATTGGAGGCTGAATGTCCTTGACCGCTAAAGTGTTCCCCAATTGGGAGGGAACATTCCTGTTTGGTGATTGTTGTGCGGCGTCCATTCATCCGTTGTCGTAGTGTCTGCATGGTCTCGCCAATACACCACGTGTCGGGGCATCCTTGCCTGCAGTGTATTAGCCAAATCTCATGAGTATCTGCTGTGTACGTGGTGGGTAGTGTTCCCACGTGTGACGGTAGTATCCATGTCGATGATCTGACATGTCTTGCAGAGGTTGCCATGTCAGGGTTGTGTGGTGTTGCGGTCGATGTTCCTCCTGAAGCTTGCATAGTTTGCTGCGAACGATGGTCTGTTTAAGGTTCAGCGGTTGATTGAAGGTGAGGTTTCTTCCCCAAACCCCAAGATGTCAGCAGCAAGCCCAATGAGACAGCCAACAAACTGGAACAATCGAGAGATCCGCAGTGCAGCGACCAAAGAAGAAAGAGTTGAATTGGACCCCTCCAGAAGGTTGCTGCCCCAGCCTGACCTGTATGCTCATGTTGTCTGAAGATGTGCTAATGCCAGATTCATCAGCTGCACTCACAAGGTAATGCAGAATGTCACTCAAGCACAACGCTAATGGCCTGCTAATTTTATCCTCTGATCTTCTAGGGCTTCACAAGTAGCAGACTAAGACTATACTACCAAAGATTGAGACTTAGGCTCCAGCTGCCAACCAAATTTATTAAACAATAAAAGAAAAGTTAAACAGTAGTGACACACTATAGCTATTTGAACTTAAATGTAACTAGTTAGAATCAGTAGATAGCAATAAACAATACTGCATCACAATACAATGTACATGAAATGAAGATGATTGTGAGCTTAAGGACATAATCGTGTCTGAACTTCCAATACAATATTAAAAAGTGTTGCATTGTCAGGGTGTATAATGTATTAGATATGCCCATGTAGGGGAGGATTGGATACTGGACTAGATCCTGTCATGAAAATGACCATTTTAACATGATATGGGATTCTTTTCATAAAAGGGGTTACTAACAGGAGGAAGTCTTACTGTTGCATTACAGGTCAAAAATCCCTTGTGTAGACTGGTTAAGGGATCAGTCATAAGCAACAGGAATTCTGTTTTGAATTAAATACATGCTTGACTAAATTTTACATGTCTTTCCAATGCAGAGGAGACAGGTGATGGGTGATCTTGAACAATATACAGACTATGTACTGTGACAGTACTATGGCTTTAAGAGATGTATTTGGTCCTGGATTTTTTTTGTGAACAAAGGTTGAAACAGAGGTGACAATCAGTCTGCTCCAAAGCCCATAAAGTAAGCTGCTTGTGAGGCCTTGCGTTTTTTTTCTCAGGTTGGAACAATAGAAGCAGCCTGAATGGGAAGGGTCAAGCTCCCACAGAGCCAGGATTTTTAGTTTTAGTTTTCAGTAGCAATTGCTGAAGCCTTGAAGCTGGATGTGGAAGCTGTTTTCTTCTCTCTCTGTTATCGCTAAAAGCTGGCGGTTCTCCAGCTAGAATTGCACGTGAGACAATCTATTTTACTGAATTTGCCTTTGCCAAGGGTGTGTTTATGGGATGTTACCATATTAGAACAATTACTGTTCAGTAGTTAAATAATCTCTTATTCTGTTAAGTTTTCCAATAAAATTGTTATTCCAATTCTTTCCTTTGTAGCATGTTAACTATAGTGTATGAATAAAGTGTGTTTTGCTTCAAGACCGCTAGTTTGACCAATTGAATGACGCCTGGCACTTGACTTTAAAATAAGAAAAAGTTAGAGTCTAGGTTATCTCCTTACTATATTTTGAGGGGGGTTTGGTCTGGTCCATAGCAGTACAAATCCAAATTCCTAACAAGCATAATTTCTCCTTTATTACTGTAGACTGCAGAGAAATTTCCCTCACAATCTCCAGGAGCATTCAATGGGATTGAACTTTCTATTACAAAAATTGTCAAACTTGACAATGTCAAGTCAGCCTGGTCCTAAAGAAAATCCAGATCTACCCTCCAATTAATAACCTATCATTAATCTCAGTATCAATTTTACAGGAAGGAAACAATCTGAATCTGTTAGCATGCATGTATAGTCCTTTTAATTTTCAAGATCCTTTATCTTCAACACCAAGTATCGGTATTATGCTATTCAGAAAAGGTAAAACCATTGTAATCAGTTTCTAACACATTTTACTAAGTATCAGCTAAGTGTCAATTTCAGAGAGTTTCATGGTAGGTTTCTCTCCACGAGCTTGAACATTTTGTCTCCTGCAATTCTCGGCAGCTCATCATATTATGTATATAGAACCTCTTCGTGGCACCCAACTCATGCTGTTGCATGGTAATCAATGGCAGATGTATCTATGCTGCTGGGACCATCTGGGATTCCCGGTGCCTTCAAAAGCCCAGCCACATACCAGGTCAAACCCTGCTCCCCATCGCCAGGGCACATAGTGGGAGGGGATAAATAAGAAAAGCTTCTCAGGACACATAAGTGGTACGCGTAACACTTCACTGCAAATACAACCTCACATTATTAACATCATCATCATGCCTGATCACCTGTCATTGTAACTGCACCTACAACAATCATGCCATACAGGCTCCCTGTCTCTAGGGCAATATGGTCTTAGAATTCTGCCTCAGGGAGTGTTACTTTTCTCCTAATGCCCTGTGCAGTTTAACATCTTTGCATTATTCAATGCGGGAACATTACATAAGGAAAGCCCCTGTCTCCTCCAGCCATCCTTGTAAGTCATTCAGCCCTTGAAGTGAAGCTGGTATCTGTGGGCTATCAAGGCTATGGCATAGTGGCAGTCACCAGATTACCTGGCGCAATATAAGAACGTAAGAACTAGGAGCAGGAGTAGGCCATCTGGCCATCTGGCCCCTCAAACCTGCCCCACCATTTAATAAGATCATGGCTGATCTTTTTGAGACTCAGCTCCACTTACCCACCCACTCACCATAACCCTTAATTCCTTTACTGTTCAAAAATTTATCTAGCCTTGCCTTAAAAGTTGAAGTCACCCATGACTACAACCCTGTGACTTATGCACCTTTCCAGTATCTGCCTCCCAATCCGCTCCTCAGCGGATTCAGCAAGGTAGCTTCAACCGCTTCACTGGGCAGGGAATTCCACAGATTCACAACCCCTTGGGTGAAGAAGTTTCTCCTGACCTCAGTCCTACATATGCTTCCCTTTATTTTGAGGCGATGCCCTCTAGTCCTAGTTTCACCTGCTGGCGGAAAAAACCTCCCTGCCTCCACCTTATCTATTCCCTTCATAATCTTATATATTTCTATAAGATCTCCCGTCATTCTTCTGCATTCCAATGAGTATAATCCCAGCCTACTCAGTCTCTCCTCATAATCCAACCCTCTCAACTCTGGAATCAACTGAGTGAATCTCCTCTGCACCCCCTCCAGTGTTAGTATATCTCTTCTCAAGTAAGGAGACCAAAACTGCACCCAGTACTCCAGGTGTGGCCTCACCAGGATCCTATACAGCTGCAGCATAGCCTCCCTGTTTTTAAACTCCATCCCTCTAGCAATGGCAAACAAAATTCCATTTGCCTTTTTAATTACCTGCTGCACCTGCAATCCCACCTTCAGCGATTCATGCACAAGGACACCCAAGTCCCTCTGCACAGCAGCGTGCTGCAATTTTTTACCATTTAAAACATAGTCCATTTTGCTGTTATTCCTACCAAAATGGATGACCTCACACTTATCAACATTGTATGCCATCTGCCAGGCCTGCTCTCAATGTGACAAGTGCACAGTCAACAGCACCCTGCATCTGGACAAAGCCAGCTCTGTTGGCAATGCTGCTGCCCATGCTGCAGCATGGATCTCTTCATCAGGAAATAAGATGAGGCAGCGTAATCTGGCACAAACTGCACCAGTTACAACTTCAACGTATTTGTGGGTGATTGTGGACGATCAAGAGATCCCACGCAGATATCCGGTGGAACTCTGGAAACAGCCAGTTACACTAAAACTGAGCACAATTGTCACCTTGACAGGCACTGGGGCAGGATGGCCACTCACTCCTTTGCGCTGTAGGTCCTGCTCTGGTAGCTGGCAATATTCTGTGACAGTGTCTAGGACATCCTCAGTCTGCACCAATACTGCACCTCACTCACTGCAGGAAATGGTATCAAGGACAATAGCTTCTGGGTCTCCTGTAGCTCCTGTGCATTCTGAGGAGACCTTCAGCTGTGACTTCTTCATGAAGTGACTGTTGAGCAGCTGCTGGTCCTGGACTTGCTTGAGCATCTGCTCTTGCTCAGTTTCTGTGCTTCCGCAGTGACAATAACCCCTGCTGTGGCTGGGTCATTGGTCATGCTTCCAACGAATCAAGTGGGAACTATCAGAAACAGAACAGATTCTTAGTAATGTGAACAGTCGGTATTCCTATCACTCACAAATGACAGTTTTCTGAGTCTTCCATACATTGGGATATGGAGGACTCTGGCTAGGAAAGCCTGGAATATCTCTGCATAGATCTTTGACATAGAGGACTATATTCCGTGGAATACCATGTTGAGAAAATACAGTAGGAGACAATGAGTGCATTGAAGTTAGAGAAACTTTGACCCTTACCCCCACATTACCCAAGAAAGGCAGCTATAAGAGCACATTGGCAAGTATCTACAGTTAGATGTGGCTTTTTCAACCGAGGAGACCTTGGGTTGTCTTTGTGAATTGTAGCCTGGAGCCTTTAATGTCATGCATGATTATCTTTAATTCACAGAGACAACTATGATCAATCTGTAATGACCATTGATGCAATCAAGATTGCTTGTGACCAAGATTTGTATCCCACATCATTGGACACTACACGGTCTTCACATGCAAGGTACTATGATTACAGATGTCTTTAATCTGTACTGTTTGAATATCCGATTATTGAATATTAATGTAATTTCCCCTTGAAGTTGCTCACATCACTCACAAGAACAGCCGTCTTGATCAAGATGGGTAAAACACTTAATCTGCCCACTCTGGGTGTGGTGACAGCCATTTTCCATACCCATTGTGCATTTATGATTTGAATCAGGATGATTACCCTTAGCATATTAACAGGCTGAGCCTACTCTAAGGGACACACTCTAAACCGTCATGTTCCTTTCTCTTATATTTCCTGTCAACCCCATCAGTGCTGGGCTTCCACTCAACTCTCTTTAACATCTTCATCTCCCATTATTACCCCCTGAGCCCTGGCCCTACAGATTGGATATGCCAACCATTATGCTGGCGTTGCTCCCCTCACATGGTCAGGGTCGCTGCCCATGGAGCTTAACTTGAGATGTAGGGGAATGCTGACCAAACTGGAGGTCCGAAGGAGCAAGCAATGAGCTGAAGGTGTCAGGTACCTGCTCCGATTTTCCTGTTGCTATCAAGTTTTTCCCTGGTGCATAGCAAAGTGGGAAATTGCATATAAACAAATGAAGTAAGATGAAGACGTATTCTAAAGACATGAAAATAGGTCTTTCATTGCTCACTAGTGAGATTCTCATCATGCCGTTCAAATTTTCGTTTCAGGATCAGATTTTCTTTTCCCTCTCTCTTTCAGGACCTGAGAAAATTCAGCCCAAGAAAATGGAGTAAGATTTTAAAGCTGGAAGAAGACTCAGTTTCTGGCATACTGTGGCTCGTAGAGTCATAGTGTTGTACAGCATGGAAGCAGACCCTTCGGTCCAATTCGCCCATGCCGATCAGATATCCTAAATTAATATAGTCCCATTTGCCAGTATTTGGCCCATATCCCTCTAAACCCTTCCCATTCATATACTGACCCAGATGCCTTTTAAATGCTGTAATTGTACCAGCCTCCACCACTTCCTCTGGCAGCTTATTCCATACACACACCACCCTCTGAGTGAAAAAATTGCGCCTTAGGTCCTTTTTATATCTTTCCCTTTTCAACTTAAACCTATGCCCTCTGGTTTTGGACTCCCTACCCTCAGAAAAAGACCTTGAATATTCACCCCATCTATGCCCCTCATGATTTTACAAACCTCTATAAAGTCACTCCTCAGCCTCTCCAAGGAAAACAGCCTCAGCTTATTCAGCCTCTGCCTATAGCTCAAACCCTCCAACCCCAGCAACATCCTTGTAAATCTTTTCTGTACCCTTTCAAATTTAACAACATCCTTCCTATAGCAGGGAGGCCAGAATTTCACTCAAATATATCTCCCTTGAATTCATTCCTGTCCAACGCTACTTCGGTTATTCTGTAGTTAGAACCAATTAGCTAGAAAAATTCTACTTACCTGCATTCGGGGCATAATCTTAAAGCTGTTCATCTTTTCAGACTCTGCCAGCTTTGGAATTTCCACACATAAAAGAACCTTTACAGAATGAGCAGAAGTTCACAAATTATGTTCTTAATTTTTTTGGTAGAATCTCTGTCCCTTGGCTTTACATTATAGTTATAACAACTAACTGATTGGAATGTGAATCAATGATATGTAAATTAATTGTAAAAGTAAAGTTTCAATTGACCATAGAAACTATAGGGCTATTCTCTCATTAGAGAAACTACTGGTAGTGGTTTAACCTGAGAGTCACCAGGCCTCAGCCAAGGGGAGAGGTTGACAAGGCAGGACCTTCATAGTGACCTCAGTTGCTGTGCGAATTGAACCCACACTGTTGGTCCCATTCTGCCTCACACACCAGCTGTCCAGCCGACTCAGCTAAACAGAATTAAATTCATTAAAGTGAGAATAAGAAAAGCAGAGAAAAATACCAACATTTCTCAGCCCATTTTCGCATGGATAGATCTCCTGAGTACCTCCTTCTGGAGGTGTATCCAAGAACAGCAGTAGGTTATCTGATCCTTTGAACCTACTCTACCGTTCAATGAAAACAAAAACAAAAGGGTTCATTTTCTACTTCAGCTACACCTTCCCATACTCTCCTCATATCCACTGAGTGACTTAAAGGCGATACAGGCCATAAGAAATAGGTACATAAGTTGGCCAATCAGCTGTTTGAGCCTGTTCCACCATTCAATAGGATCATGGCTGATCTGACATTCCTCATGCCCACTTTCCTATGTCTTCCTGTAAGCCTTGTTTCTGCTACTATCAAGAATCAATATATCTCAGCCTTAAATATACATAAGGACTCTGTCTCCTTTCTGCAGCTTTCTGTGGCAAGGGATGTGTAAGACTCACAACCCTCTGGGAGAAGAAATTCCTACTCATTTCAGTCTTAAACTGGCGCCCCTTAATTCTGAGACTATGTCCTCTGATCCTAGACTCTCCCATGAGGGGAAACATCCTCTCAGAATTTACCCTTTATTCCTCTAAATTCCAATGAGTAGAGTCCCAACTTATTTATCCAATCTGTTTCCAGTATACAAAAATCCGTCTATCTGAGTTGAATCAGTCTTACAATTGAGCAGACAGGGCTCTCTGGGTGGATAATTCCAAAGATTCACAACTCCCATGAGTGAACAAATATTTTCTCATCTGAGTGCTAAATGACCAATGCCTTGAGATTGGTGGTTGTAGACTGCAACAGCTTCTCTGCATCTACCCATTCAAAAAGTTTCAGAATTTCATATTTCCTACAGATCACCACTAATTGTTCTGAACTCTAAGGAACACAGGCTAAGATTTTTCTTAAAAGGGAAATCAATGCATCCCAGGGACAGAATTCCCTCCCCACAACAAGTCTGGAATGAATGTGAGGGACCCACAAAAATGTGGCACTGGAGAGCACATCAGATTCAGAATGCTGGTCCTGGTAGTAATAAATACCAGGACAGGGGGAGGACAGAAGAGGAACCTGCTCTTGTCTGAATCTACTCAATTAACATGGTCAGTAAGACAGTACCAACAATGTTGTTCCATTGTTTAAGAAACATAGCAAAGACGAGCCAGGGAACTACAGGCCAGTGAGCCTGACATCAGTGGTAGGCAATTATTGGAGAGGATACCGAGGGATAGGATCAATCAACATTTGGATAGTCAGGTCTGATTAGGGATAGTCAGCATGGATTTGTGTGCGGGAAGTCATGTCTGACAAATCTTGAGTTTTTCAAAGTGGTAGCCAAGAGGATGGATGAGGGCAGTCAATGTTGTCTATATGGACTTTAGTAAGGCCTTTGACAAGGTCCCATACGGGAGGCTAGTCATGAAAGTTAGGTCACATGGAATCCAGGGAGAGCTAGCTAATTGGATTCAAAATTGGCTCGTCGGTAGGAAGCAGTAGGTGAAGGTTGAAGGTTATTTCTTGGACTGGAGGCCTGTGACAAGTGGTGTGCCACAGGGGTCGGTGCTGGGACCTTTGTTATTTGTTACTTACATAAATGAACTGAATGTGAATGTACAAGGCATGATTAGTAAGTTTGTGGATGACACAAAATTAGGAGGTACCATTGATAGCGAAGAAGGTTATCAGGGATCATGATCAGATGGGGAAGTGGGCTGAGGATTGGCTAATGCAATAAGTGTGAGGTGTTGCACTTTAGAAAGTCAAACCAAGGTAGGACTTATACAGTAAATGGTAAGGTCCTGAGGAGTGTTGTTTAAGATGAGAGGGGTAAGATTTATGAACGATCTGAGGGGCAACTTCTTCACGCAGAGAGTGGTGCGTATATGGAATAGGCTGTCGGAGAAAGTGGCTGAGACAGGTACAATAGCAACATTTAAAAAACATTTGGACAGGTACATGGATGAGAAGGGTTTAGAGGGATATGGACCAAATGTGGGCAATTAGAATTAGCTGAGTGGGCATTATGGTCAGCATAGACCAGTTTGGGCCGAAGGGCCTGTTTGCATGCTGTATTACTCTACAACTCTATTTGAACTTAAAGGGACAGATAGATTATCCATGGCTTCAGAAACAGATTGACTGAAGGAAGGTGGGTGTGCAGAGCCAGTCATGGGTGCTGCAGGACGTCACTAATGGCAGGAAAAATAGACACTGAGTGTTTATGGCCTTGAGTGGGGTTGGCATCCCATACACATAGCAGAGTCAAAAGAATAAGGGCAAGCCTTCCGAGGCCAATTCAGAGGTTAGCTGCACTGAAGAAAGACTCCAGCTGTTAAATGGATCCTGGCTGTTAGATTCCAAGCCCAACAAGTAGCAACAGGCATTAGGAGGTCACTGGAGAAGACAGGCAGGTAGGCCGGCAATGGAAATCAAACCCTCAATGCAGGCATACCTGGAATTGAATGACTAGGGCCTTGGGAGACTCTGACGTTTTAGACAGATGGTGCCTTCTCGTTCTTAGGCAGTCCCTCTGAATCGAGGATTACTTGCTGCCAACTCTGGTTCAATGGGTTCTGAGTTTGCTGATAAATCCACTGCATGATCTCTTGCTTCCCTATGGTGCAGTGGAAGGCTTCAGCACAAACTTTAGCTTGCTCCCTCAGTACAATACGTGATGGCTGCTGTGGGAATTTAAAGCAATCCCAAATGTCATCTGAGCCATCTCCATTCCAGTCCACTGGACTGGAATTAGTGACTCCAACGAAACCTGTGTCAATACCATTTAAAGGCTTACCCACATGAAACTCTAAATTTCAATCAGCTTCACTCCAGAAGTGGCTTTCTAACCTGATAATTAATCCAGCTCCTGTTTCCATCCCTTGGCAAAAATTCACTGTAAGCATCTAAAGTAAAATCACAGGCAGTTTGCTTGCAAATTCCTATTGCAGCTGCCTCATGCAAGACCGTCATTTCAACAACGACTCGACTCCAAAAATCTACTCCTATGCTCTTACAATGAGCTGCCAAAACTAGTGCATGTCAAGGCAGACTGTAAACATAAAACAAAGCAACGAACTGCAAATGCTGGAGATCTAAAAAATCAGAAAATGAAATTGCTGGAGAAACTCAGCAGATTTGGCAGTATCTGTGGAGAGAAAACAGAGTTAACATTTGGGCTCTAAATTTCAATAATTATTTGCTTCAGATTTTCAACCTACTTCAACATTTAAAGATCTTCATCCATAACTTTTAAAATGTTTGGTTAAGAATTGACTGGGAAAGTAACCAAAGTTATAACTTACAAAAATCCTTAATCAGGTCACAAAAAACATACCTTTCCTTTCATGTTGACATTGAGAAACTGCACTGGGGTGTAAGTGCTCAATTCTGCAATATCTGCAACAGTCACTTTAGCACCAGCAACTTCAAAGGCTACAAATACATCAGACTCAAATTCACGGTGTTTCCACTTCATCATCAAATTTCCAGCCCATCCACCAGCCTATTAAAGAAAATACAAAACTTGCACACATAAATCTCAGATAACAGCAACTGTCCTGGGCCACATGCATTACCAACAATGCTTGCCACTCAGTGCCTGACTCAAAATTGCAAGGCTAGATCAAATTGATTTCTTAAGCTTTCCAGGATGAATTTTGGTCAACAGCTTATTGACCATGAACCATGAATTCTAGGCAACAATTTTAGAAACAGTAGGCTGAATTTTCCTGTGTTTACTTGTGTGAGATTCAAAGTATCTAGTCTGCCATTGTCCATGACGGCTTTTCTGAGCAACCTTCCACTCTTCATCTCATTAAACTTGCAGTTGTTCCCTTCAGGGTCCTTCTCATAGAATCATGCAGCTGGAGAAGTAGAAGTGCTCACTACTGGCAGGACGTCACGATATTTATGCTATTGGTGCCATATTCAAAACCCAGTTGCACCCATTAAATGCCCATCAGACTGAGATCCTGCACTGTTACCCAAAGGAAATGGTCCAGAAAGGCACAAAGCTCCTTGCTTTGCTAACAGGGACCGGAATGGATGGGGTGGTGGAGGAAAGATCAGTGCTTCTTCCTACTGACCAGCAAAAGAGGCCATTCTACCAGACTAAACCAGCCTGAGTACAGATAGCAACACAGGTCAGTGCAGAGTCCCAGTGAAATGCACAGCACTGAAGGGAAAAGGTAAATGATCTTCTGTGTTCTGTAAGACACTTTCAGGGTCAGCGTTCACATTAACTCTGCCGTTAAACACTCATCTTACAATAGATTACAATACTCAATATTGTATAAATCATGCCCAGTCAACAGTTCCCACTCATTTCATCCTCTCAAACTACTAACTCTTCCTGCCCTCTGCACTTTTTACTCACTCACTGGGGAGGCCTGATCACTTTTCCTGCTCCTGAATTGCAACCAACTGGTTGTTGCCATTGCTAGGTAACTGCTTTGACTTGCACACCATGAGCTGGTACTGTTTACTTTCTCAAGAAAGTAAAGCAGAATTAGAAGCTGCTTACAAATGAGGTGAGCAGACTAATAATGAGAAGTGAACTAATAATGAGGTGCAAATGCATGAAATAAGGTAGTCGCCAATCATTAACAAGATTCTGACATAGTAAGAACTGCTGATGCTGGAGTCAGAGATAACACAGTGTGGAGCTGGAGGAACACAGCAGGCCAGGCAGCATCAGAGGAGCAGGAAAGCTGATGTTTCAGGTCGGTACCCTTCTTAACAAGATTCTGATCTCGCTGTTTAAACCTTAAGCAGAAAATCAGAATTATTTAACCTCAATGTTGAAATTCTGACTCTTTTTTCAATTTTCCTGTATTTTACCAACCTTTTCACCATTGCCCATGCTGCTCAAGGGAGCAAAAAACTTACAAACTTTGGAGGTGGTTCAGAAAAAATTTTGAATAATGGTCCTAGGGTTGAGAGACTTCGGTTATGTGGATAGATTGAAGATGCTGGTCTTCTTAAAGCAGAGAAAATTAAAAAGATTTGACAGAGTTGTTCAAAATTTGAGGGTCTAGACAGAGCAGAAAGAGGGAGACTATTCCCAATGGTGGGAGGGTCTGGAACTGAAACATATCAATTTAAGATGAGCAAAAGAACCAACAAGAGGAAATCGTTTTTTTTTTTATTATGCAGCAAATGTTTAGGATCCGGAGTGCAGTGACTAAGAATGCAATGCTAGTCAATTCAACTGTTATTTCTGAATGGGAATTGGATACTCACATGAAATTAAAAATAAACAAATATAACAAAAAGGTATGAAGCAGGAGAGTGGAAGTAGCTAAGTAGCTCTTCAGAGAGCCATAGCAGCACAATGTGTTGAATTTGCTCCCTCAGTACAACCCTGTGATTCTATTCTATAAAAATCCACCGACTACTTAGGAAACTCCAGGCTATAGTGAGATGAATTAAAACTCTGGGATAGGCGTAGGGGAGCGTGTAGTGTTTAGATTTTGCAGGAAGACAGCCATGAAGTTTTAAGCAGGGCAAGTTCAAACATGGTCCAGGGGAGTGGATGGGCACGAAATGATGTACAAGAGGATGAGCTGAAGTTTATGGATTGTGAAATCTGGATATAACTGCACAGGTTAATAAGAAAGGTGAAATAACCAGTGTTACACACATGGCTGGGAAACAGTAATGATAGAGGTTACATGGGTGTAAGTTAGTGCCTGAACAGAACATCACTGAACACAACATTTGGCTGAAGGTTAGATGTTAGAACAGAATGTTCATTGTTGAATTGGTACTAGGCTGAATGGAAATCAGGGGAGCAGAGAATAAAATTCTCTGCAATAAATATCTAAAGGAGAAGTGAAGGTGTAGTCAGCATTGGTGAAGAATGACCAAAGAAACAGGGAATAGGAAGAAGGATGTATAAAAGAATTGATGAATCACACCATGAACCCAATGTGCTTTCAGATGTAACTGTACGTGCCCCACTGGAAGAGCCCACACATACCTCCTGTGTGATCAACACTCTCCTGCATGAGCTACTGCCAGGAGAATAGCAACATTAACAAGAGAAGATTGTGTTCAATCATGCCAAAGACCACACAGAGGATAAAGAGAAAAAATACAACGCACTCCCAGTGACTGCAATTTATTAAGCCTTTTCCAATGAAAGGGCGGAATTTATCTGGCAATTGATGGATGCGCTTCAAGTATGTACTCTTTGGATATGGCAAAGTGAGGATTGTTGCCATATAAGGGGCCTGAGCAGAATGTAGGAGTTTAACTGGGTCAAGACCATCAAAGATGGAGATAAGGAAGTGGTTGAGCAGAAAGGTTGATGTAGCAGTATCTTGGCAAAAGGAGGTAAAAATCAGACTGCAAATGCCAGTGGTTTGGGGAATAATTCTGACCAGATTAGACGTCGAAGTGAGTACGATTAAAGGGGATGGGGGGAGGCAGCGTTGAAAATGGTTATTTTGGTAATCCATATCATAACACCAGGGAGTCTGTGAGATGGCAGAGTCAAGGGGAAGCACCTCACAACACGGTTAGGACAGGCCATGGAAGGACATGAGGTCAGTGACTTGTGGTCAAGATGGCAGCAGAGTAGGATGCTCCGGTCACAGTTCCTCTGCATGCCAGTCCCTTTACCATTTTCCCCTGTTTTCTTTCTCTTCTCTTTGTGGCTTTCCCTTTCCCCCCAAGCCACTCCAACCCCCAGAGAGTGGAGTTGTGGAGCGAGCGAGTCAAGTCCCACAATGGACCGGAGCAAGTGGGCCAAGTCCTGCAGCGGTGCGGAGAGAGAACGGGTCGAGTCCCACAATGGAACCAGCACAGGGAGTGTGGCCTTGTGCTCTGGGTCGTGCAGGCATGCCCTGTGAACCCCAGACACCGTGAGCAGTGAGTCTGGAGCAGCGCATGGGCTGTGAGGCCCAGACACCGTGAGCAGTGAGCCCGGAGCAGCGTGTGGGCTGTGAGCCCCAGACACCGTGAGCAGTGAGCCCGGAGCAGTGTGTGGGCTGTGAGCCCCAGACACCGTGAGCAGTGAGCCCGGAGCAGCGTGTGGGCAGAGAGCCTGGAGCAGCGCGCGGGCTGTGAGACCGGAGCAGCACAGGGAAGAAGCCCCACAGCAGCACAGGGAAGCAGCCCCGGAGCAGAGTGCAGGCAGCAAGTCCAGGCTGGACCCCAGTGTGAGGGGACAATCCTTACCTTAGAACTTACCTTAGAACACTGTAATGTTAACCCCTTAATATTTTCCTATTTTTAACTTAATTTCAACTCTGTAATTAAGCAACTGCTTCTATTCCTCCGCTGTATTTGAGAACTGTACCTAGGTACTTGTACCTGAGATGTCGCCATAAGAAGGCAGATATTGTAAAGGTTTTTCACTGTACTCCTACAACAGAGTAAACGTGACATGAAAAAGATATTGTTTATTGTGTAAAACAAAAACACAGCAACGTGACTGGAGATAAAAATTGAAATCACTGAATATTGGGAGCACAGAGAATCTGGGAGGGAAGCAGGGATGTTGGCTCAATAAAAAAATGAACTGGTGTGTTTAGAGGAGGGGAAGATGTGGGAGTAGAAAACAGGGGATGCACAACTCCGACAATGATTTGGGTAAGGCAGTTAGGGTAGTATAGCCAGGCTTAATGGGCTCAGTAAAGAGCAATGCATAACCACAGCTGAGTCAACTTTGATAGAAGTACAATCACACACAATTAGGTCATGTACGATAGATGGCAGATTTGTGAGTGAACAGTCATTCTGTATTAAAGTCTGGTGGGGCCAGTCATTATTGATAACTGGAAGCATCAAGGTGTCAGAAATTGTGAGAGGAAGTTGTTGAAATTAAGCCCCTAAATCAGGAAAGCCAGTGAGAATGGAGGCTGGGCAATTAGCATTGTATCTCGTAACAAGGCAACAACTGGTGCCTCATTGAGCCTTTCAAAGAGTACAGAGAGTAGCACACATGGTAATTAATTGATCTGGCTGGAGTCAAGTCTGAGATATGAGCAGGAGATTAGAATTGAGGGTTCAAGACATCAGGGAGGGGAGAAATACAAAACAGCACAACTGGGTGACATGAGGAAGATGAGGAAACAGCAAACAAAGGCACAGAGAAACCACTACAGAGAAATAGCTGTAACAGCCCAGGCAGAGATAACATGTAGTACAGGCCATGAAGGTCAGTTCGATAGGTCAGAAAAATCAAGTTATCATTGTCCCCTTTTCTCACCTGAAAGTAGAATAAAAGGTTAGCGAATTGTCTAATAATGGATTGTCTGTGACAGCTGCAGTTTATTGATGACAATTAATAAACCAACAACATGTCTTGCAGAAACTACAGATGTTTTCACAAAACTAAAACAGCAATAAACTTACGTTTCGCACAGGCCAATTTGCAACCTTGAGCAAATGACGAGCTATAATGTTGTAGGATGGTGATTGGACAGAATACTGTTTCAGGCAGTTGATGAGTGAACTCAGGGTAACATTGGAAAACACCTTTAAGCCATTAGGTCCCATAGTAACCTCGTAAAGATCAGGGATTCCTTTCACATCAATGAGAACTTGATAAGGTCCATCTTTCTTGTAAACTCCTGTGGGAAGATTATTAATCAGAGGATTTATTTGTTTTTAACTCTTTGGAATTGCTTGTACTTTCGAAGGTGAGATATCGTTAAAATACAGAAGTGTTATGGACCAGACTAGGCACCCTCAAAATATATTACAAAGGTAGCCTAGGCCCTAATTTTTTTCTTATTTTAAAGGTAAATGTCAGGTGCTGTGTTTCAGATGCAATTCAATTGGTCAAACTACTCAATGTTAAGCAAAACACTACTCAAATACTATCAAAGATATCAAGAACCACCGATGCTGGAGTCAGAGATAACACAGTGTGGAGCTGGATGAACACAGCAGGCCAGGAAGCATCAGAGGAGCAGGAAAGCTGACATTTCAGGTCTGGAATGTTTTTCAGAAATGGGGAGGGGGTAGGGAGCTTGGAAATAAATAGAGAAAGGAGGGGTGGGGCTGGGGAAGGGAGGTGGGATGGTGATAGGTAAGTGCAGGTAGGGAGTAAAAGACAACTTGGAATAACTTAACTCTATTGGAAAATGTAACAGAATAATAGATACAGTAACTATTACTAATTAACTGTTGTAATATAGTAACATTCCCAATTAATACACCCTTGGCAGAAAGGCAAATTCAGAAAACAGATTTTGTCTCACATGCAATCCAGCAGCCTAAGAAGACAAACCCCATCTTTGGCTGTTATGGAGAGAGAGAAAAATATCTTCTACCTCTTCAAGGCCCCAATAGCAACTGCTGCTGAAAAACCTAAAATCCCTGATTCTGTGTGTTGGAGCTTGACCCCACCCATTCAGGCTGCTTCTATTGTTTTAACTTTCAAAAAAAACCGCTCATGGCTTCATAAGTTGTTTACCTTCTCATAGACTGCTCCGTACCTGTCCTCCAATCTCTCTCTGAAAGAAACCAGGATAAAATACGTCTCTTAAAGCCATAGCATCATCACAGAAGGACTAAAAACCTTTCCGTCTTCTTGTACATCAGCACCAGCCTCCCCCCTACCAAACAGAATGGGACTATAGACACTGACAAATCTCTGAATTAGGTCAGTTAAAGCATTCCATGTCAGTTTCCATGGAACACTGTTGATGTAGCTGATATCAAAGTGGGGCATGGCCTGGGAGAAACCATTCCCTTCAGCACTTTGTGCCCTCTCCAATCTAGTGAATTTGATTACATACCACACTTGCTTCCAGCTCTAAGATGTATCCTCATGACGACCTGCCACTAATATATCAAAATGTCAAAGACACCTTCACCTTGATTGTGGGTACATTAGCAAGGTCAGAATAAAAGTTTACCTTTTACAAACATCAGGCTCAAAAATGGGCCTTATTTTAGACAATACATGCCAACGATTCTATTGTTAAATGAAGACAGGAAGTGTTTACATTATTTGTCTCTTGTGATAGGAGCCACAAGCCAGTTAGGACCAAACTCCTGAACAAATTTGTTTGTTTCGACTTTGGCTTTGTCTATGCCTGACTTCCATCTCACATTCAGCAAAAAAAAACGTCCGCATTGTTGGCACTGAAATTGATATCTGATAATGTTGCTTTGCTTGCACTTCTTGACCTTAAAATTTGCAAAGTTATGCGAGTTTCTTTCCTGTTTATTTCATCTCTACTGCCTGCGTCTCACACAAACGGTTTGTGTTTCCAAACGATTTGTACCAATCAATATAGTGACAACAGTGCCCACAATTCCGTGTATTCCTAAAACCCTGTCATAGAAAAACCACAGTAGAAGATATTTGCTGAAAGTAGTCAAAGGAAACAAAACAATTCAGAACTGGTAAAAAGTAAATGACATTGGGAAAATATTGATTGATTGATTTTGTTGTCACGTGCACCGAAATACAGTGAAAAGAGTTGTTTACAAGCAGCACAGGCAGATCACAGCAAGCAAAGGATGTACAGATCAAAAAGATTTAGAGGCGTACAGGTTACATCACAGGTTACATTATTTGAGGCTAGAGTCCATTCAACAGTCTGATCATGGCTGGAAAGAAGCTGTTCCTGAACCTGTTCGTTCATGTGTTCAGGCTTCTGTATCTATTGCCTGACAGAAGACGTCGTAGGAGGTCATTACCAGGGTGTGATGGGTCTTTGATGAAATTGGCCACCTTTCAGCAGCAGCGAGCCATATAAATACAGTCCACGGATGGAAGGTTGGCTTCCGTGATGGTCTGGGCTGTGCACACCACCTTCTGTAGTTTCTTATGGTCCTGGGCAGAGCAGTTGACATACCAGGCCATTATGCATCTGGACAGTACACTTTCAGTTGTGCATCTGTAGAAGTTGGTGAGGGACCTTATGAACATGCCAAATTTCCTGAGCTGCCTGAGGAAGAAGAGGCATTGTTGTACCTTCATGGCTGTTGCATTTATGTGCGAAGCCCAAGACAGGTCATCGGTTATCATCACTCCAAGGAACTTGATGATCTTCACCCTCTCAACCTCAGTTCCGTTGATGTTGATGTGGGCATGTTCTCCTTCTTTCTTTCTGAAGTCGATGATCAGTTCCTTAGTTTTACTGACGTTAAGAAACAGATTGTTTTCATTGCACCACCTCACCAAGCCCTCTTTCTCCCTTCCGTATTTTGACCCGTCGTCATTAGATATCTGCCCCAGTACGGTGTTGTTGTTAGCTTGTAGAAGGTGTTCATTCGGAATTTGGCAACACAGCCGTGGGTGTACAGGGAGTACAATAGGGGGCTGAGGACACATCCCTGGGGGTGCTCCAATGTTGAGTGTTATTGTGGAGGAGGTGCAGTTACCCATCCTCACAGATTGTGGTCTGTGGGTCAGAAAGCTGAGGATCCATTTGCAGAGGGTGGAGCCGAGACCAAGGTCTCGGAGTTTTGAGATCAGATGAACTGAACGTACTTTGCTCTATTTCACCCACAATGGCTGAGATTTAATTCAGTGGGTTGATTGAGCATGATGATGAAAGGAGCGAGGAAAACTGAATGTCATACTCGTGACAGTTACCTGGCCTTGAGAAAACTGATTCTAATTTACTGGGGGTGGGGACCCAGGAAGGGTCCGATACTCTCACCAACTGCTGGCGGCAAGATGTCAATAAAGTTGAAAGAGCCACTCTGAGGCAATTATCTTGGAAGCCAGTGGGAATTAAGAATGAACCTGGGATTTAACGGGTTTTGGAGAGGTCCACTGTGCTTACCTGTGGAGCGATGGGGGTGTCCCTCTTGGACACTCTGTGCCAGGATATGGTAAGGGGTAGGTAATTTGCCACTGGATGTCACCACCTCCCTCCAACACATGTCCTTACATTTGGTCCCTCCAATCTCCTCCTCGCTCCTGTCAACCTCCCCATCTGATCTGCCTCAGATGTATTCAGTCATGATGCGATAATTCCTGTTGAAGGTCTCCAAGCGTTACTGACAGTAAGAAAACGGTCACAGTGCTGGCCATAGACAGCAAGAGATCTCAGAGTTCGGATTTCCAATCTCCTATGCTTTTGATGCTGGGCTGATAAACATCCAACTGCATGTAAAAAAAAAAATGTCGTTGTGCTGGACACAAGTGACACGAGAGTCCTTATGCCTCTTCAACCACTTTGGAGGGAGCTCCCATTCTCGGATCTAAATTCTGCCCACTGTGTCAGGAAGGCATCAAGAAGGACAGTTGTGATATAAGAAGACTGGCATGCTTTTCCAATTAAACCTTCCATAGTTTTAGAAAGAAAACTGGTTAAACAAACTGCCATAAGTTAACTCACAGGCTAAGCATCTCTCACTCTCATATTTCGATCAGTAATAATTTAAGCACAAGATAAATCTACTGGTCAAATTTATACTGTGGTGATAATGGTGCTGGATTCATATCCTGAAGCTTTGTCAAATTATCCTAGAGAATCAGGGAGTAGTCGTGGCATAAACGGCAAAACCCCCTCAGGTTATGAAAAAGAGATAACAAGGTGTAGAGCAGGATGAACACAGCAGGCCAAGCAGCATCAGAACAGCAGGAAAGCTGATGTTTCGGGTCTAGACCCTTCTTCAGAAATGAGGGAGGAGAAGGGGATTCTGAAATAAATAGGGAGAGAGGGGGAGGCAGATAGAAGATGGATAAAGGAGAAGATAGGTGGAGAGGCGACAGACAGGTCAAATAGGCGGGGGTGGAGCCAGTAAAGGTGAGTGTAGGTGGGGAGTTAGGGAGGGGATAGGTCAGTCCAGGGAGGACGGACGGGTCAAGGGGGCGGGATGAGGTTGGTCGGTAGGAGATGGGGGTGGGGCTTGAGGTGGGAGGAGGGGATAGGAGAGAGAAAGGACAGGTTAGGGAGGCAGGGACAAGCTGGGCTGGTTTTAGGATGCGGAGGGGGAGGGGAGATTTTGAAGCTTGTGAAGTCCACATTGACACCATTGGGCTGCAGGGTTCCCAAGCGAAATATGAGATACTGTTCCTGCAACCTTCAGGTGGCATTGTTGTGGCACTGCAGGAGGCCCAGGATGGACATGTCGTCTGAGGAATGGGAGGGGGAGTTGAAATGGTTTGCGACTGGGAGGTGCAGTTGTTTGTTGCGAACCGAGCGTAGGTGTTCCGCAAAGCGGTCCCCAAGCCTCCGCTTGGTTTCCCCAATGTAGAGGAGGCCACATCTGGAACAGCGGATACATTATACCTACAGTATACATTAGCAGATGTGCAGGTGAACATCTGCTTGATGTGGAAGGTCTTCTTGGCGCCTGGGATGGAGAAGGGTCTAGACCCGAAACGTCAGCTTTCCTGCTCCTCTGATGCTGCTTGGCCTGCTGTGTTCATCCAGCTCTATACCTTGTTATCTCAGATTCTCCAGCATCTGCAGTTCATGCTATCTCAGGTTATGAACAAGTTGGATAAAGTCTCTGACAGCAACCATTGTACTTAGTAGGGCTGAATCGCCATTTCCTATTCAGCAGAGAAAATGTTAACCATTTTGTGAAAAATATTTGTACAGTTGATAAAAAAAGCACTTGCTGATATTACATCTGAAATGCATTATTCACATGGCTCTCTGCTTATGTGGAAAACAGTATCAAGTTTCTGAAAAACAGACAGATCTTTGCAATCAATTTCACAATTTATACAATTTCCTTCATTTTCAGTACCTTTTGCAGTATCTCCATTTACAAGTTTGACAGCTTCATGTGAGTGCTCCTGCATTAATTGATAGAGCTGAGGTAGTTCAGTGGGCTGATACCATTTGCGACTATCCTTTGAGAAAAGCATGCTGGTGGTGCCCTCTGCTGGACGAGTGGAAGATGCAATGTCACTCAAGGAGCTCCGAACACAAGGTCTCTTTACCTTGGGACAGCCCATCAAATCCTTTGGACAAGAATTGAACATAAATTAGAAACATCTCTGAATATAATAAGCTGATCAATATCTGAAAATGTTAAAAACTGCAAAGTAAGTCCATTAAAATATGGATCATGCTATTCAAATTGCTACAATTCATTAGAGCAAAAAATATGCCCGCTTACTCTCCTATTACTTTTTATGGTGTCACAATACAATTTGAGAACAGGATTTGCTAGCAATGCTATTGTTAATCAACCAGAACCTATTAAAACAGATTAATTTGTCATGTAACTTTTACCACTTTTTAACACTATGTTTATTTCTTCATGGATTGTGGGCATCGCTGGCCAGTCCAACACAATTTACCCTGAGAAAATGGTGGTGAACTGCTTTCTTGAACTGCTGAAGCCCTTGAGTTATAGCTATACTTACGATAAGGAAGTTTATACTGACAGTGAAAGAAAGGCAGTACATTTCCAAGTCACGATAGTGCATGGTTTGGAGAAAAACTTGTAGGTGGTGGTGCCTCCATGCATCTACTAGGTGGTAGAGATTGTGAGTTTCGACAGTTCTATTAAAGGAGTGCTGGTGAGTTACTGCAGTCGATGTGTGTCGGTGGTGTAGGGCGTCAATTTCGAAGATGATGGGTAGAGTACCAATCCCGCAAGTTGCTTTGTTCTGTATGGCATCAAGCTTTTGAGCATTTTTGGAGCTGCATTCATTCAGGGAAGTGGACAATATTCAATCACACTCCTGATTTCTGCCTTGTAGATGATGGATAGGAATTAGAGATACAGGAGGTGAGTTACTTAGTGCAGAATTTCTAGCCCCTAACTGGCTCTTGTAACCACAGTATTTATATGGTTGGTCCAGTTCAGTTTTTACTCGATTGCAACCCCCAGGATATTGATAATGAGAGATTCAGAGATGTTAATGCCATTGAACATTAACAGTAGTTGGTTAGATTCTGTCTTAGTGGAAATGGCTATTATTTGTACTTGTGTGGCACATGTGACGATACCATGGCTTTAAGAGGTGTATTTTGTCCAAGTATTTTTTATGAAGAGTTGAGACAGAGTGCCAAGCCAATAAAATAAACAGTTTGCGAGGCCTTGTTTTTTTAAAAAGTTGGAACAACAAAAGCAGCCTGAATGGGTGGGGTCAAGCTCCCACAGAACTAGGATTTTAGTTTTAACTTTCAATTGTTGTTGGGGCTTGGAAGCTGCTATACATGTCTCCCTGCTACAGCAAAGTGTTTGAGTTCTCTCCCTCTCTTTCACACACACAGAGTTTTCTCTGTGTCCTGATGAAGGGTGTAAACCTGAAACATCTTCTTTTTCTGCTCCTCTGATGCTGCGTGACCTGATGTGTTCCTCCAGCTCCATACTGCATTGACTCTGACTCCAGCATCTGCACTTCTTGCTATCCCAGAGTTTTCTGTTGATGTTCTTTCCTCCTGGACTGGAGAAATGCACATAGACAATCTCTTTTACAGAATTTACCTTTGCCAAGGGTGTATGTATGGGATGTTACTATATTGAAACAAATGGTTAGTATTTTCCCAATAGAATTAAGGTATTCCAATACTTCTTTCTTTTGTTTGTATTTTAACTGTCGTCTAAGAATCAAGTACGTTTTGCTTCGAGCCTGGTAGTTTGACCAAGCATATTGCATCCAGAACATAACGCCTTATACTTGCCTTTAAAAATAAGAGAAGTTGGGGTTTAAGCTGTCTTCTTAATATATTTGAAGGGGTTTGGTCTGGTCCATGTTACATGCAAGTTACTTGCCTCTTCTCAACCAAGTCTGGATATTGCTCAGGTCTTACTCCATTTGGACATGGACTGCTTCAGTATCTGAGGAGGTGCGAATAGTGCTGAACATTGTGCAATTATCAGCGAACATCTGATCTTAGGATGAAGCAAACATTCATGATGAAGCAGCTAAAAGTGGTTAGGTCTGGGATATTATTCTGTGGAACACCTGCAGTGCTCACCTGCAACTGAAGGAAATGGTCTCCAACAAGAAGCACCTTCCATTGTGCATGATTCTAATTGTGGATGGTTTTCCCCCATTCTCAATTACTGTAGTTTTGTTGAGGCTCCTGGAGTCCGAATCATGCTTTGATGGCAAGGTCTGTCAAATACTGTCCAGCTGAAATATTACCTCCGTATTGTTATATTCAATTAGCTTTGTAATATATAAAATTCTATAAGCTTCACTAATTATTTGCTGCACTTGCACACAAACCTTTTGCAACTCATTAACTTAGACACTCAGATCCATCTGCATCCTAGAGCTCTGCATTTTCTCACCAGTTAGACAATATGCTTTCTTTTTATTCTTCCTACCAAGATGTATAATTCCACATGCACCTATTATACTCCATTTGCCGTATCTTTATTCATTCACTTAACTGATGTGCCTTTTTTTAGCCTCTGTGTCCTCTTCACAACTTACTTTCCTACCTTTCTTTGTACCATCAGCAAATTTAGGAACTATATTGCTCATCCCTTTATCTAAGTCATTTATATCAACTGTGAAAAGTGAAGGTCCGAGCATCAAACTTTGTGGCCTACCACTCTTTGCATCCTGCCAATCTGGAAAAGGCCCATTTATGCCTACTCTCTGCTTTCTGTTAGCCAGTGAATATTTATCACGCCAATATGTAATCCCCTACACAAAGAGGTCTTATTTTCCACAACAGCCTCCGATAGAGCATCTTATCAAGAGCATTCTGGAAATCTAAGTTCAGTACATCAACCAATTCCCCTTTATCAAGAGCATGTGTGCTACCTCCTCAAAGAATTCCAATAGATTAATCACCGTTGCAAAGCCACTTTGACTCTGCCTGATTATCATGAATTTATCCAAGTGCCCTATTATACTTTCTTTAATTGGAACTTCCAACATCTGTTATAGGGAAAATGTTAAGTTAACTGACCTGTAGTTTCCTACTCTCTGTCTCCTTCCCTTTTTTAATGAAGGAGTTACATTTGCTGTCTTCTAATCTAATGAGACTGTCTGCGAATCAAGGGAGCTTAGAAAAATTAAACCCAAAGTATCAACTATCTTACTAGCCACTTCTTTTAAGAGCCTAGGATGAACCCCATCAGGGCCCAGCCACTTGTTAGTCCATAGCTCCAATAATTTAATGAGTACTTCTCTGGTGATTATGTTTAACGAAGTTCCTCCCTCCCTTCCACTTCCTGCTTCATTGCTGCTTCTAGGATGTTATTTTTGTCCATTATAGTGAAGACCAACGCAAGATATCTGTTCAATTCAATTTTCTATTAATGATTCTCCAGTATCTTTCTATAGAAACAAAGGACATTTTTTTCACTCCTCTTGAAATATTTATATAGACTCCTACAATCTGTTTCTATATTTCTGACTAGGTTTCTTTAATTCCTTTCTTTTTATTCTTAGCTGTTTTTTATATTCTATCAAATTTTTTGACCTGCCACTTGTCTTTGGACTTTTTCTTTTAGCCTGATACTAGCCAAAGACAGATGGTAGGTCCATCCATTAACATTCTTCCTTGCTGTTTTAATATATCTATTCTGTGTATTCTGAAATATCCCCTTAAACATTTGCCGCGACATCTGCATTGATTTTTTTTACCTAATTTGCCAGTTCACTTTAGCCAGCACTGCTTTTATGCTCTCAGAATTCTCCTTATTTTCATGTAAAATAATAGTCTCAGACCCTCTATCTCCAATTGACTGTAAAATTCAAACAAATTATAGATCACTGCTACCAGGGATGTCTTCACATTGACACTGTACTGGAGCAGGTTGGCTAGGGGTGCGGTGAGCCCTGGAGCAAAAATCTTCATTACTGTTGCCACAATGTGGTCAGGGATCAAAATCCTTGCAGTATACATTCTACCATTTCTTGGTATCACAGGGAATGAAGCAAATTGGCTGAAAACTGGTAACTGCAATACAATGCTGGAGGAGACCAAAATGAATCGCTCACTCAGCACTTCTGGCTGAAGGTGGATGCAAATACTCAGCCTTGTCTTCTGCATGGATGTGCTGGCCTCCTCATCATTGAGGATGGAGATATTTGTGGAGCCTCTTCCGCCTGTTAGTTGTTTAATTGTCTATTGCCATTCATAGTTGCATGTGGTAGAGCTGCAGATCTCAGACCTGTCCATTGCTTGTGTCATAACTTACTCCTGCCTACAATTACATGCTACATTAGCTGTTTGGCACAGCAGTACATGTTGCTGTTCATTTGTAGATATGCCTAGTGCTGCTCTTAGCATGCTCTCCTGTACTCTTCACTAAAACAGAACTGACCTTTGGCTTGTTAATGATGGTAGAGTGAGAAATCATGAGGTTATAGATTACGGTTGGATACAATTCTGCTGCTACTGATGGCCCGCTGCCCAATTTTTGAGCTGCTAGATCTGTTTAAAATCATTCCCATTTAGCACGAGGCAATGCCACACAACATGACAGAGGCTGTCCTCAATTCTGAAGATGAGAGATGGAATATTTGACTGACTCATTCTGGATAGATATGAACTTTGCTTTGGCAGCTTTCAAGGACAGGCAGATATGCAGAATTGAAGAGATCAAACGTGGCTTGCAAATATAATGCAGAGTGGACAACAACACTACAGTTATCCATATACTGTAGGTTAAATATGTCTTTGGTCATCCGTTCAGTTTTGAGGTTAAAGAGTTTTCTATCGAGATAATATTTAATACCTGCAAGGCATCTATTTTAAATCTCCCACACAAACTAATTGCATTCATACCATCACAACACTATAGAGATTGTGATACTGTTTCTTGGCCATCCAAATCTCAGGGGAGCACCACAGGGACTTGTGTCTTACATTTTTTGTAAATTCATTCATAGGATGTGGGTATCTTTGGCTCAGCATCAGTGGTGGAGGGTTTCAAACTTCTTGAGTATTGTTGGAGCTGCAGCCATCTGGGCAAGAGGGCAGTATTCCATCACATTCCTGACTTGTGCCTTGTAGATGTGGACAGGTTTTGTGGACTCAG